GAGGGCTCTGCCACCTTCTAGTCTTTATGGAGATGTTGTTATTGTTTGCCTGGAATGTTCCACAGTATGGCATTAAATGTGTCTATTTCCAAGGAGACAAGCAGATGGTGGCACTAAAGCAAGCTGAATATAACTGAATAAATGCAAGAGATAATTTCAGTGCCATACTGTGAGTTACACTGTGCACATTTACCAGTCACAGGAACCATCCTTTTGTGTTAATTTTTCACTAGTGTTTACTAAACCCTGTTTCTGATAAGGTCTGGGTGCTTTGAAGTCAGTAAAAAATACCATGATCTGAATGCTGCTTTGTATGCTGTGTTTGCCTATGCCAGTTTAGTGTTGTAGAAAACATTATTGATTGAGAGTTCCTCTACCTGTACAGTACATCATAGTGATCAAACATCTGTGAATCACTGTGCAGTCGTAAGTCTGGGAGGAAACCAGTTTGGAGCAGAATGGAAGATCCCACACACACCCTGTACAAATCCTTCATGCGACAGTATCAGTGAAAACCTGCAGACATGCAAAGCACAGAAACATGATCTGCTTACATAATCTGCTAAGCCAGTTAGCGTCTTTTTGCGCCGTCTAGCTCTGTTGTGAAGATGTCTATAGTTGCCTGTGTGTGGGTTTATATGAGTACAGGGGGAAATCATCTATAATTCAGTCATTATTTGCATTATGTTTTTGTTTAGCTTGCACTATGTAACTGTGCGTAGTCTGCCACAGAGTTGTAAACAGTATATAAAATCAGATACTAGTATCAAAACTGCTAAAACTAGTATCAAAACTAGATACTTATTTGAGCAGGTATCGATACTAAAAAAATCATATTCACTGTATAGAAATGAACCTTTCTGTTTAAGTATGAAATTAAACGTGACAATTTTGTATTTATTTATATGTTATTTATTTGTATATATTTATAATTGGTTACATGTAGGGTTTTATTTTAAATTGTATTCATTGGACATTGCAATATTGATCAAACACGCCTGGCTAGCCTAATTGAAATGGGTCCACTGACTTCCTGTTCAAAACTGTAGAACTGATTGACCCCTTCACAGCTCACTGCTCATTATGGCACTTAAAGGTCGATTTCACATATGTCCCTTTTAAACCTCTGTAATTTAAAGGTGCATTGTGTCACTTTTCTGGTGAAGGGTCCATAAAAAGCTTTTCTCTGTAGAGATTAACTGTATTTTATTTTCAGAATATATTCTAAGAAAAAGGATCTTCACAACTAGGGATGTAACGATATCCAAATCTCTCAGTACAATATTATCACAATATGCATCTCACAGTACGATATTTATTGCGATATTTTGGGGAGGCTGATATAATTGTAGATAGGACTCTTTTTTTGCTTTAAAATACTCTGAAAAAATGTTGGTGTGAATTATCATAATCCCAAGAATTTAACTAAAATACGTATTACTTCATGTTGTCTGCACTGAAATGAATCATGGGATATGTAGTTCCTGATGTTTATTAGGTTTTGTTACTATAAAACAATGCAATTAAGCAAAGGATTTTGTAATTCTATATATTGTAACACCCCACGATATTATTGTGAGACTTTTGACAAAAAGATATCATGATATTTCGGTTACTATTACATCCCTATTCTCAACTGATGAAACTGATGATTTAGGATAATTACACAGATACTGCCAATGGACAAGGGCCAATGGATAACACTGAGAATACCAATAAAAGTTTTTGATACCAAGAGAAACAACTTGTACAGTAATTAGGATTATGTTTCAGTATTGCATTTAGTATATTGTTATTTTATTAATGCACTTTGGATGTGAAACCAGCTCCTATTCTTCTTGAAAGCTGATCTGTGTACATGGGTAGGGTGTGACGTCCCTTGGAGCTGTTTGTCCAGACCACACCTGTGAACGTACAAGTACAACATGGGCGACATAACCAGAAACTAGTTATAAAACAAAAACAAGAATGGTGTGCTCCCTCTGGCTCAGCACTTTCCCTGGAGTCTTTTGGTTTCAGTTTGTCATTATCAGCTCAGGAGGGATGGCACCATGGAAACTGTTGGGGCATCAGCCCTAATGAGAAGTTCCCACTATAGTAAACTGGGTGACTCATTCTGTTTTAGTAGTGGAAGGATTTTGTCTAACGAGACTTGTGACACAGTATTTTATTTTAAATGCTTTTTAATGAATGAATGAATGACTGAATGAATTACAGTTTTGCATAATAAAAAAAAAGTTCTCAACAGTTCCCAAATTCTTTTCTCCCAAGACTGAAATCCAAATGACGGGCTTTTCTTGACTGACTTCTTGATTAGCTGTAATCTTTTTTATTTAAAAGACTGAAGCTGATCATAGGCAAAATCTGTTAAAATTTGCTTAATTGCACTCCCCTACTGGTAAATAGATGGTAGTATGTGTCTGTGTGTGGGTTAGTTGATCAGTATTGTATCATGTGCACTACATGTGTATCTAAACCTTTTTTATTGACTGAACTACATTCAGCTTTTTGTTTATAGATTGATAAATGCTTTGTTAATAGACTAGACTAGAAATTCTAAGTGATGGTGCAGTTTTCAAAGTAGCTAGTGTTCCGAAGCTACTCTATTTTTACAGTGTTGATTTTACTTTACCAATTGTCACATTTCTGTTCTTTCTATAGGAGAAATATTCTGTGTTTAAGGCCTAACTGGTTATGTAAAGAAGGAAAAATGAAATATAATGGTATTCTTAGCTTGTGTGTTTTGATGTGGGAGTGCTATTCCTGGTGTAACTGTAGGCCAAGTGTTGGTCATTTTCAGCATATGGATCGTTGTTGATATCAGCAGCATGAATTAGAGCTCCATTTAGGTCACCACCTCCATCATATACTACAGCAGTTGTTGTAGTATTGGTATTTTGCAATAGTAAGTAGATTAGCTTTGCATATTTGAGAGGTTTTAGGATTATTTTGTGTTACAAATCTTTGAGAACTTTATGAAAAAAGCTTAGCATAGACTCCATAACTACCACATACACACAGACCATCCACTGTCCCGTCTTACCAAAGAAATGCAGCAACCACTGAAACCATAAAACACATAGTAGTGTTTTCACATATAACATTAAATCTTAGGCTGTAGTTATAATGTCTTGTATGAGATGAGACAGAAATTATATTTTAAATCCAAAGTTATAAGCCTAGCATATAACATCACTATTTCTTTTTACACATTAACTAACTAAGAATCTTTGGACTTCGGTCACGATAACAAATTTTGAAGCTTGATAGTAAATATAGAAGTAAGTACAGACAATAAAATTGAAACTAATTTATGCCACAGTGGCGCAATAATCCAACAGCAGATTGAAACCACAAAAATATTCTAAATCTACAATATTCTTAAAAAACACAACTTGCAGTAAATAAACAGCAGAATGGGAATCTGAAATGAGTCATATAAATTATTAATTCAACCTTCTATGGCTCAGATCTTTTTGTATTGCCAAAAAATAACCCAAAATTTCCCACCAGTGCAAAGATTTTGAAATTATACACATGATAAGTACTGACCAAAAAACATGATTCTGGCTTTCATATATTGAATGATGAGTAGATATAGTCATTATTATGACAGAACTAAGCAGATCAAAGTTCAATTTTGTGATATTACTGTGTGACTGTTCTTAAAATAGTCTCTCTTGGAAACCCCGCAGCTGTGATATTGTGCAAACAGAGGGTGAGAAGTAGACAGATGGAGTGAGCTGTACGTGGGCAACTGCTGAGAGGACTCTTATTCTAGGCCTGGTTAAGGAAAATGTGCTAAATACATGTGTCAGTTTGTTGCCCTGAGAAGCCAAAAGGGGTCGCTCTCATTGAAAGTGAACAGGAAAAGACCCGATATCAGTCTAATACTTTGAGTGGATTTTACAACTCATTACTGACAAATCAAACCTAGAGAGAAAAACACTAAATCATCTTTCCCCTCCACAAATGCACGTGTAGCACACCATAGTCATAATAATTAGGGATGTATTTGACTAAAGAAATACTTGATTGACTAAAGACATGTCCTGCCGATCGTTTAGTTGACTAAAAACTATTATCCTTATATGACCCAAACTGCACTCACAAGACTACACTTGCACAGCAGATTATACAAAAACCTACTAATTATGTGGAAAAAAGTACTAGGAAACAGTTTAGTTGTAAGACCGGTTAAACTTGTGAATCGTGACTAAATAATTACGTCCTTAATAATAATCAACACTTATGCTGGTGGTTCTTTTGGACAGTTTGCTTCCTCTCAAACCCCTGATCTGTCACTGGTCTGATCCATCCAATTTATTCGATCCATTGTCAAGCTTAGGAGTGATAATTATTACTATATCAACATTCAATAAATGAAAACTGGATTTGGGGGGGCTCAGTATTTATCATGTGTCTTTGCACTTTGATATTTTTTAAGATTTGAGCTGTACTGGGCTGCTAACTTCTGTGACTCATTATACTGACTAACAAATGAGGTATTTAATTTGGCATTGTGTTTTTGTTTTGTTTTGTTTTTTGTTAGTTTTTTTTTTTACTTTTTTTTTTAAAAATTTTTAATAGGTTTGCTGGGATAATCCTGCTTTAGGGTTATAGTGTCAGGGGTATAAAGTAGTTTACATATTATTGATGATAATTTTTAGTAGCAATACATCACAAGTAAATGTATTTTGACTGAGATATTCGAGTTTTTAGCATTTTAATTATTATTATTAATTTAATTTAACCATTCATCTTTCACTTTGTTTCCCTTTAAAATAAATTGGAAAAAACACTTCTTGATGATTATTTGTGAAAAAGATTAAAATCTAAGCTGTCATCATATAGCACCACTCTGCAAACTCCTCCACAACATCTCCATCCAAGTTTGTAGCAGCTGACTCATGTCCTGTTATTTCCCAGCATGCCTTGCCTCTTAATGTCCACTTCCTGCTTTAATTCTCATACATTTTCCTTTACTCTTTCTCCAACAGGAGCAGTATGGCGACCCCCTCTACATAGCCATGTGTTGTGGTAAACATGATCCCACTAAGGTAAGGCATTACATGCATATTTCCCTTCTGTTGCATTCCTGTGTGTAACTGAAAGCAGATGGTGGCGATGGGGATGTTCCAGGAGCACAGGGGAAAGTAGATTTATAAAAAGGGGGTTTGGTGATTGGTTAATGGGATAAATTTAGGGGAAGGCACAGCTAATGTAATGATGTGGTGAGCAGCAGATATGAGTATGGACTTCCCAGGCTAATGGCTAGATCAAGCAAGTTCAGATGGCTTCTTATAGCTCAAAACAGAGTTTTTATAAGATGAATTTAAGGGTGCCCCCTGCTTGTTTCCATAGAAATTTTAATTAATTTCACCATATGGCATTAAACCTGTGTTTTTATTATTTTTATTATTTTAAAAAAAACAGATGTGACCCATAACTTGACCTGGTGGCGTCACCCACTTGTTACCACTGAGATAGATTTGTTTAATGCCATACAGTGGAGTATTCCCAGGCAAAGCAATAATATCACATTGTCATGTTTAATTTAGGTTTAATGTGAGAATAAATAATTATTGATTCTTTGATAGAAATTACTTTCAATCCTAAACCTTTTTCTACTTTACAAAGGTGTTTTAAAAAAATAATTTAGTTCTATTGTACAAACAATAAAGGGAACAGAGAAGAATCAAAACTGTATAGTGGTGAACAAATGCTATGTGGGAAAAATGCCTGGAAAAAAGCAAAAATATTTATACAATATTTCCCCATTCAAATGATTTACTACTGACAAATGAAAATACTGTAGTTTTCCTTTGTGGTTAACAGGAATCAATCTTTCCAGTATTGTCCTTTTTGGGAGAACATGAGTTTCTTTCAGTGAAAACAAAATGGTCACATTCCAAATTTCTGCACTGCATTTGCGAGTGCTGGAAATGATCTAAAAAAAAAATCCTATAAAACATGATCTGAATTCTGTTCCTAAAAGTGCAAAAACAGTCTGTACAGTCTGTACAGTAGCAGCTTTCCCACTCTAGGGTTGAGAGGTTCACACACATTTTCTGTTGTGCTCTTGGTGTTGAAAAATGTTTTGGTAATGAAAAAGATCAGGGGGGCGATGGAATCTACTTGGGCGTCTGAGGTATTTCACAGAGTTATTTGACAGCGCAGTCTCAAGTCCAGAGCACAGCAGGCCAGTCTCAGCCCAAGTGAAGTCATCTGACCTGTTATTGTCCACTCCACTGCATGCTTTTCATAGCAGCTGTGTGTTAGTGTGTGCGAGTCTGTCCTATATTATGCAAAACTGACTCTTGAGAGCTTTAAGCCATGTTAGAATGTTGTTCCCTCCTCAAAAACGTACTTGGAGTTGTGTTTTGTTTCATTCACACATGTTTGAGTAATCCTTTATTATTAGGCTGTTTACATCTCCAAAGCTCAAAATGCTCTGGTCCACCTTGTGATGTAATGAAGTGGTAGTTTTCAAGTTAACAGCAATATTTACCTTTTGTTCAGTAGAGATTGGCAATTCCAGTCCTGAAATATTACACATGCTTCTAGTGACGGTAGTGTTTTTTGTGGTTTGAGAGAAGAACTTGGCATAAATATGCAGGATTTATGTGTTAAGTGTGTGAACGAAACAAAACACAACTCCAGTTATGTTTGTGATGAGGAAACAACATTATAAAAGAAATCAGAAAATATTGTAATATGAACCATTTAAATTAGAGATGTCACAATGTCAAATTTAGTATTAGGAAGGGAGAATATGGGGAAAATATATTGATTTTATTACAATTCATACAGTCAAGTTAGTTAGAACTAAGTCACCGTCACATACAGTTGTTAAAAATATACTTTGAAAAAAGTGTATTCTTACTATGGGGGTACTGTGGATAGCGATAAGTGTCATACTGTGTAGAATATTCAAGCAAAGCAATTATGTCTCCATAGAGACAAGCAAGGGAAGGCCAGTTCATTTGAATTTGTACGCAAAGTAATTCAAAGTACTTTACAGAATAAGAAAGACATTAAAATCATATAGTTGCATAAACGATGTTTGGTCCTGACTCTGGGTACCAGCGAGAGGCTGGTCTCTGACCTCCTTAGACTGGGAGATGGTTCATAACATGGTGCTAGGCCATGGAGAGACACAAGCAGAATTGCAGATGACCGACACTCCACTAAAAAGTTGCATAGTGCACCTTTGAATTTGTTGCTCACTTAAACCTGACGGATGCTGAATCATTAATTTTTTAAGCATTTGTTCATCATGACATATCTCATTTTTATAATTTTGTGTATTTTTTCTCCACAGTGTTCATGTATCCTGTAGTAATGGTTTGGCAGCAGTGAGAAGCACCCACCCCCTGCCTGTATCATGGTGTAAGTGTGTGTGACCAGGTCAGAAAGATGGCCTCCATGGTTGCCAGTGGAAACCGAGATGGGCCGTCCGTGGTTCTGAACGGGGTGGACCCAGAGACATGCATGATTGTGTTCAAGAACCACTGGGCCCAGGTAAACACCACCATACAGCACATAAGAGTGAACACATGGTCAGAGCAGATCTGTGTAATCTCTAGAGGTTTGTTTAATCTATTTGAGGCACAGGAGCAGCCTGTCATTGCCTGATTTTGCACCTTTTTAATTTAACACTTTTAAATGTGTTTGTTCTGTGTGCTGTAGCCGTAAGTATTGTTAACCCTAAATATATTAATTTATATAATTGCATTTATTTATCATTTATTGTAAGAAACAGAAACAAAAACAATCATATTTAACCATAACCATCAAAGTTAACTTGACTCAGCTCTGCTTGATTTTCTTACAGTTATTAACATTTTAGTTTAAATACATAATGTTCATGGACTTTGAGCAAGTACAAAAAACTGTTTCTATTCCAAGAGTAAATTTGATGGAACAAATCTCAAAAATGTGATTTATCCAAAGTGCAGTATAGCAACTTCAGCGCTTGGGCCAAAGTATCAGTGCAATGACATCACCTAAATGTTCTTGACCTTTAACATCCACAGAACAAAATTCTTTTCACCCATTTCATTTAATGCAAATGTTACGGAGTTTTATAATTTAAGTTGATGTATCTTATGTATATCAACTTAAAGCTGAGTTCCCTGTATGTTTATTTTATATTTACTGGATCATGAAATAAATACAAAATTAAACAAACTATGAAAATGGAATACATTTTCTACTATATGTTTTTTAAAGAAGACATATTATTCTTTTCTTTGCAATAGTCATTCTGTAATACCTGTGGATCGGTACATTGCAAAAGGGCTACAAAACTTGGTGAAAAGCTCTTACAAGTTTATTGGATTGCACTGAAGCACTAGATCTGGAGTCATTCTGAAACACTTTTAATTGAGAGAAAAGCTGCTCTGTTCTGACTAATACTCGGCTCAGCCTGCCTTGTTCAGTGTGGTCAGTCCCAGTGGAATCTTGGCAGGGCTGTTCTGGGGCTCAGACTGTTGGCTCTGTGTGGCAGCTTGTGCCCTGTTCACCCCCCGGGCCGTGGCAGCCTGCTGGGCCAGTCCCGCACTGACACAGACACGACATGAGTCCCTGTGTGAGGTAGAGGAGCGTGTAACTGCTCTGTCTGGATTAAAGGCTGACGCTGTGGGCACTTGTTAAATGAAGGTTAACCCGACTGTGGTTTTATTAGAGCCCCACGAGACCAGGATGTTGGCAAAGGTTTTGGATGTTGAAATGTGTTGACTATGTTATTTCTAATCTATGCCAAATTACATAATTTAAAATCAGATAGAGAATGTCTTAAACATGCACCTTTTCTGGTGGAGGGTCTGCCGCCTACTTACCTCCATAGAGATAAACAGTTAATTAGAAGAGTTAAAGATGTATGAGATGTTGGTCAAGCGTGACAACCTTTACTACATCATAAGATGATTTTATGTCCACTGATGATGCTGTTGTTGTCATGTTTGGGACTGCAGCCCCGCAGGTGGAGGCAGAACTAGTGCTAGGTGATGCCACCTGGACAAGTTACATCTCTGAACTGTGGAGATGCCACCCACTCAACATAAGAATGCAGAGATTACACAGAGATTAAAATGCTTTTAAAGGTATTTGATAGCATTAATGTTACCACCTGTAATTAAAGTAGCCAGCCTGTCCCTCTTGTTTCCACTAGATGCTAGATGGTGAGGAAAGGGGGAACAGGTTTCACATCTTCCACCATCCAAATAATCTTGGATGGTAGCGATAAAATTTAGCTTTAATTGAATAAATACATGCTACAAGTGTTAAATGAAAAGGCTGTGTTAAAGACTTTTAAGATAATGTACATACACATGTTAGTAGGTTTTCTGATAAAATCACCTTACCATGCTTCAGCCAGCACTATTCTTCAGTTGCAGTAGTTGTTGTTCAGTCTCACTCCATAGAGTCTTATTTCGTCCTCAGATAACCTATTTGATAAGAGTCCACTTGACTTTGGTTTCAGGTTGGAAAGCCCTGAAACAGGAGGACTCTGCTGGTCATTGGTGTCTGGATCTGACTGTGTGCTTCATTTTTTATAGATTACTTTTATATCTCTGTTCTGTGTCTTATCTGCTGTTACAGGTTGTACACGCGGTGTATCGTTAGCACATGCAAAGCAATCAGATGCTTTGGCTGTGATAAACTAAAAGTATGAAAGTTGAGCTACATGCTGCTGAAATGCTAAATCTGAATACCATAACAATTGAGCATTTTTATCTTTTGGCTTCTCGCTTTGATAATTGGATGTGCAAAAAAAAAAAGCCAAACAGTGACACAATATGATAAATAGCCTACATTGGAATTTCTGGGCACACCCCAGGGCTCTGTCCCTGCTCTCTTATCTTTTCATATACTGTATGTATGCATGCAGCTTTCAAGGCTCAGCTATCTGTGCACGCTTCTGGTTATTACATCATTCTATTGTCTCGTATTAGCCACTGATAATGTTTTCAACACTATCACTGTGTACTAAAGTGTTACATTTGTATAGGCCTGGATTCATAGACTGAACATAAAGTATATATGAGGGTGGGCCATATTCAAATCCTGGCATGTGGCATATATACTACTGTAATTTATTGCCACACTAAAATTATTCTGATCAAAAATGGGCGGAACAGATTAAAACATGCCTCAGTCTGGTACATACAGCCTATAGCTGCAAATAATGATTATTTTGCTAAACAGGCTGACATTTAGCATTGATTGATTTATTAGTTGCTAGATTGAGAAAGGCTTTTGAACAGGGTAAATTATGCCCTTCAGTACACTTTACAGACATATCTCTTCTCTCAGATTGCATGTTTTGGAGTCTTTGTTATAATTCGGATAACCATAATTTAATTGCTAATCTAACATTGTGCTCAAGGATACTGCCATGATTGTGCTACATTTTATCAAAGTGTATTATATAATATGATATAGAAACATTGTATAGAAACAAAGTCATTCACATTTTTAAAGCCTGCAACTTTCAATGAATCCTTCAAAAAGACAACATTTACTAACCACTCTCCATATGGCTCTGTGTTGTGATCAATATGGCCACTGTTCAAAAGTGTTCAGTGAGCAGAATGGTTGACAGATTATCAAAGCTTCCTGTCTCCTCATTAGCGACCACAGCTCCATCAGGACTCCTATGTTTGTGTGTGGTGCATCGTCATGGCAGCAGGGGCAGCTCGGGGACAGTGGGGCTATTATAGTGGCTTTAGTTTCTACACAACAGCCACTGCCTGCACAAAGGCCTATTTGACTGCTGCGAGCATAGTGTGTTTATTCAATGTGAGTGGCTTTGTTTATAAAGGGCTCTGCGTGATCTATAGAAAAGTGGATTTATCTGTTTGAGGTGTAGTCTTCGTATTGTTATTTACCTTAAGTAGACAATACTGAAAGATAAAGAAGAGAAAGAACAATTATTTTTACTTGTTGTGTACTTTAAGGGTGTTTACTGTCTGCCACATGAATTTTTGCTTTTTAAAATTTTCTATCTAATAATCCAGTTCTGTAATGTAAATACTATTTCCTACCAATGTAACCTACTGCCTACTAGGTGCCTAGGTGGTATCGCGATCCTGAGGTTTTTTGTTGTTGATTGAGATTTTCCAACAAAGAAATTGTCTCATATAATTTAGATGAAGTCTTTGGCATGCTTTCTACCATTGGTTCAAGATTAAAAAAAAAAAAGTCATATCATGCATATAGGCGTCCATACCACCTTGTCAAATCCTTATTTTGTCTAATCTCAGAAGTTAAGCATATTTGGGCCTGGTTAGTACTTGGATGGGAGACCACTGGGAATACCAAGTGCCACAGTGGGGCAGCAGTGTCCGAGGAAATTGTTGTTGTGTCCTTAGGCAAGACATAATATGAATGTGCTGTGTGAGTGATTGGTGATGGTCGCAGGGGCAGATGGCACTGATTGGCAGCTTCCTTTCTATCAGTCTGCACCAGGGCAGCTGTGGCTACAGTAACAACTTACTATCATTGTAGAGTGACTCTGAGCTTCTGGAAAGAGCTTTACAGGGCTAATACATTATCGAGAAACACATTAAATACATTTCACATCTTTATGATAACACTTTGACAATGCTTAATTGTATCTTCTATTTGTGCAGGTGGTGAAGATTCTGGAGAAGCACGACCCCCTCCGTAACACCTCCTCCTTGAACGTCCTGAACCTGGGTTCTTCCTCTGGCGGCTCCCCCCGCTTTGGTGCAATCCCCGGAGATGAGGCCAGCGCAGTGCAGAACTATGTGGAGCACATGCTGTTTCTACTGATCGAGGAGGACTGTGGCCAACCCGGAGCTATGGGACCCATCCTGGAGTTCGTCATTATGGAGAATGTCATGGAACGCCTTTTTGTTTGGAGTCTACGCCGAGAATTCACAGATGATATGAAATTAGAACAGTTAAAAATGTATGAGATGTTGGTTGGCCAAGCACGTCAACCTTTACTACATCACAAGCCGATTTTACGTCCGCTGATGATGCTGTTGTCTTCCTGTTCAGGAACTGCAGCCCCACAAGTGGAGGCAGAACTAGTGCTTTTGTTGAATCAGTTGTGTTGCGTTTTGGCTAAAGATCCGTCTGTTTTGGAGTTGTTTTTTCACACCAGCGAAGATCAGGGGGCCACCAACTTCCTGATCTTCTCACTGCTCATCCCCTACATCCACAGGGAGGGGACAGTGGGACAGCAGGCCCGGGATGCGCTCCTCCTCATCATGTCTCTGTCTGCAGAGAACCAGAGGGTGGCAAAGCACATAGCGGAGAATACTTTTTTCTGTCCAGTAAGTTGGAGTTGGTTATTATCAGGGCTGCTGAGTTTTAAATCAAAATTAGTTGTCTTTGTCTTTTTTTTTCTTTCACAGCTCCACATAATAATAAATACATGCACAATAATTTGTTTTAAATAATCCATCAAAAGATTGTGAAATTACAGAATCTGAAGAATATTATTTGTAAAATTATACCAAATGATCTATATCTTGCTTCAAAAGCTTTAGAGCACCTCTCTCTTTACATAATTCCTTCAAAAGAAAACACACTTGCCTTTTAGTGCAAAGCAGTATAAAAATGAAACATTCAACATATGCAGCTCTAATAATAATTATTTTTTATTTAAACAGTTAATACATTTAATAATAATAGTATCTGATCACCATTTTTATGTATTTATTTTTGTATTGTCAGATATCTTTTAAGTTTTGCTCTAGGTTTAATTTTTGGTAAGATTTAAAAAAAAAAAAATTTTTTTTTCATTTAGAGTAGAAAATCTGGTGTTTCCATTGAGTTGAGTTGGTATAGCATTGACAGCATCTTATAGATTCTTAATGCAGGCATTCTTAAATAATTCATTGAGATTAGCTGTGTCCATGTATGTGGTCTGGTCATGGCGGCACCAAGCAGCATAAAAACACTACTTATATATTATTTACTTGCATGTTGGGTAAGTGTGGTACAGGAAGTCATAGCTGTATATCTAAAAATCATTAAAGATACACATTTAAAAGCTATACAACTAAAAAACATCAAAAATAGCTGTCTTCTACCATACATTAGTAGTCTCTTAGTAAGTATGCAGACTAGAATTTCCTCTCCCTTATAATAATAAATGCATAATTGTATTAAATAATCCATAAAAAGATTGTGAGATTACAGAAGATTACAGAACTTGAAGAATATGTAAATATATTTATATATTTTATATTTAATACTATAGAATAATAATTCATACCAAATGGAATCTTGCTTTGAAAGACTTAGAGCTCAGGAACACCTCCTTTCCTTATCAGCACACTTCCAAAACATGTTTAAACTTGTCACGTAGCTCATATTTTTCATAGATCACAGTTACATTAGGTTACATAATTCTCTCAAAAGGCAACACACCAGTCTTTCAGGCCAAACACTATAAATAAGTTTAAAGATGACACATTTGACAAAAGCACAAGGACTCCCATTACTAATGTGTCTGGAAGAGTCTAATGGAACCTACAGCACCATTACCTAATCATAAATGTTATTACCTGACTTAAATGGCTCCTAAATAGTTTTCATAAATTTAAATTATCCCTCTTAGTTGTACCTCTGTGTATCATTTCACACACCTTTTATTATGGTGTCTCAGTTAATGCCGTCATGTTTTCAGAGTAAATTGTTTTTTTCTGATATAATTCCAAATTCTATACAAACAAGGCAACACATTTCAACCATGTAGACCAAAATCCAAACATTTAGATTATTGATTTGAAGCTAATCTTGTATAAAAATAAACATATTCTGTCTTTATTTTAATGTGGAAAAAGGAAATAAAAGCAATGTGAGTCATATTTAGTTGCTGCCCACACACTTAATCCTGATGCTGTGGTGTACCGTATCAATGCAAATGATGTTAATGAATAGGATGCCAGCTAACATAATGCAGTTTCCTTTAGTGCTATAGATATTGCCTTCCCCAATTTACGATGATTATAAGTTTCATCGTTATAATTGACAGAGGCAGTGAACTAAAACAAAAAAACTAAAACTTTATGTCTTTCAACAGGTGTCTCTAAATAAAAATAGTAAGTAGTCAGTACATATGCTGACATTTGCTGCATGTCTGTTCATGCAGCTATAGTGTATTAAAAAATATTTTCATAGGAGCTCTTAGGCATCCACCTAATGGAGCAGATACCTCTCATTTATCACTGATGTCACACACAGGCTGATTCATGTTTAATGGTGCTCATACTTCACACATACTTCACACATACTAATATTCAACTCTAGATTTATGATTTTAGTGAAGTCCAGAGAACACGGTGAGAGCAAAAGTCAAGTAGAGATCAAGTTTATGTCATTGTGTAAATAGATAGAATTATAAGTGTAAAGTTATACCACTGACATATTCTATTAGACCTGTATTAAAGCTAAAAAAATATTAGCCATATATAGATTGTTACTCCAGAGATGTTTGTCTATATTTTGACACCACTGTTTAACTACTCTTCTATATATAGCAAAAGAAAAGAAAATTCTGTCAACTGGACAAAAGTTTTAGACTGAATACGTTTTATTACCCATCCAAATGAAGAAACTGAAGAAGTCACTTGGATGGGTGGTGAAATTGATACATTGAGAGCTTCCATATATAACCAACAGCAATGCCCTTTTTCTTCTCCCAGGTCCTAGCCACAGGTCTAAGTGGTCTGTACTCCTCTCTGCCCACCAAACTGGAGGTGCCCAACGAGGAGTGGCACTGCCTGCACAAAGAGGACTGGCTCCGGATGCCCGCTCTTGTCCAGTTCCTCAACTCTCTGGAATTCTGCAACGCCGTCATCCAGGTTGAACAGATTATGTGTTTTTTATGTCCTATAATTCACTTTATATTGTAAAATTGCTGTACATACTATAATATCACTGAACAAATATGTGTACGAATATAGTTGAGTCTTTTGTACTCACTTGGATGTTGTTGATATCTTAAATATTTATTCAGTGTAAAATACATACAGTAGTTCAAATGTAATTCCAACTTCATAGACTGTAATAATATTTGTCTGCTTTTAACCACCTTGGGATTTTGCTCTAATGCTTGTTTTTGGCATATATTTTCAGATATTTTACAGTAACTTTAAATTTTAACTATATATTATTTTTAGCATGTCTCACTAAACTTTATCTAAAGGTGCACTGCATAATTTTACTGGTAGAAGGTCCCCCACCTGTTTTGTATATGGTGGTGTTATAGCTGGAATGTTTTACTACAGTATGGCAATTAATGTATGTATAAATCACCAGACCAAGTCACATGTCAGATCTGTGAAGAGGTGGCCCCAGTGACAGTAAGAATGCATGTTTTCAAGAAATGTTTTCAATTAAATGACCCATAATGAAATCCACGCTAGAGAGATGTTTAATTCTATACTGTGTAACATTCTAGGCAAAGCAATAACATCTCCATAGACACAAGCAAGTGACAGATCAGAAAAGTTATACGGTGCACCTTTAAATTTCTCTTCTATAATATTTGTTTTAAATTGTGCCTTTAATCATCTCAGTCTGTACACATGTTCTGAGTGTCTTTAGCCTCTTTCTGAGCACCTCCGTCTGTTCCCAGGTGGCCCACGTGGATATCAGAGATCAGCTTGTCAGCTATATCTATAATGGCTTCCTCGTGCCTGTCCTCGCACCAGCACTACACAAGGTCAGGACTATTACAGCTGTACTACTACTACTACTACTCCTAATATTACTACTACTGGTTATTTATGGAGGAGTGAATCCTCTTAACATTTGAATATTGTTCTGAAAATATTGTAGGTTGTAAAAGACAAGTAGATACTCAAAAATACCACATGAATTATCAGTGTCAACTGTCTTTTGTGAAATGTTTTTGTTATTGTTGTTGGATTTTTTTCTTTTATTTCACCACAATATAGCAATACTTGCAACTATTAATCTGGGAAAAGATTATAGTGTGTTTAAAAAAAAAAGACACATCAGCATTTTTTTCAGCAATTACTTTATTGCAGTTACATCAATTTGACAAAGATATTCTACCAGAAATGTGTACTGCCATTAATGGACACCTACATTCTGATGTCTAAAAAAGCACATTTTTGGTTTCTCATATTGTCTGGTTATGTAATATTTAATAACTTCCTAGTTAAGGATCAGTGTGATAATTTTACATCTCAGCAGTAAGTAAGTGATATAAATATATTTAAACCGGGGGTAGTTTATAATCAGTGAAAGTGTTCATCCTTTTGCATTATGCATATATAAATTAGGGTTGTCAAAATGATAAAAATCAGATGCTAACTGATACTAACTAATATTGAAACAGAAATGAACCTTTCCTGAATAGCTTTAGAATATCTTGAGCTCGGTCATAATGAGTACAGGGCCGCACATGAGAGTGTTTATTATTGTGTTATCAGGCCAATTTCTTAGTTTTGAAATTGAGGTATTACCATGACAATAACAGTGACAGTCATATAAACGTGAAAATTCCATAGATGTGCTTTTCTTGTGTCCACAGATGACCCTGGAGGAGGTAATGACCACAACAGCATACCTGGAGCTGTTTATCAGGAGTGTGTCAGAACCAGCCCTGCTCCAGACCTTCCTCTCCTTCATCTTGCTGCATCGCTATGAGAATGTGCACATCTTAGATACGCTGGTCAGCCGCATCAATACGCCCTTCCAGGTACTGAACTACAACACTAACTAATAGGACCGTCAAAAGTATGTATTCAGTACTAGATTTAGTATTGATTAGTATTTGATTTTCTAAACTTCTGACAACCCTAGAACAGGCAATAGTGTGCTGGACTTGCTTACATGTTACAAAATCTTGTTTAAATATTTTTGCAGACTGAATAACTGATTTGTTAACACTTGACTGAGTAAATGACATTGTTTGCTCACACACACCTACTTCAACAAGAAGAACTAGACAGTATAGTTTTTTTTACATATTGGCTTGTTGCTGCTGCATTAAAGGAGGCCTATTATGCAAAATCAACTTTTCAGAGCTTTTAACCATGTTATAGCTGTTTCCCCTCCTCATTTACTCTCTCAAAGTTATATTCAGAGTGATTTATAAATGTTTGAGTAATCTTTATACCCTTGTATTCAAGATGTCATTGCTCCGATTGACTCACTTTTTACTGCCACCAGTACACGCCCACTGCTCTCTACTTGATTCGTTCTCCAGTTTTATTTTCTTAATCTGTTCTTTGTTGTGATGACATCAGCTCCCACTGAACACCACAGTTTTCCAATGTGGAAATCAGCTGAAAATCAGCTGACTTGTTTTTTTACTAACTCATTTTAGATCAATATAGTGATTTAAAGTCAAAATTATCATACAATTATCCACAGTTGTCTTAGATTATAACTACCAGACACAAGTACAAGTTATGAGTTAATATGATAATAATATAATACTAAATACTAAATGCTTTTTGATCTAACTCGACAACCCCATTATTCAGTATTCATTGACTTCTGTCCACAAAGTAAGTAGTAAAGTGTCATTCCAAACTGAACTTAACAGCATTTGCAGTGAATAGAGAAAGGATCAAACCTTTACAGAGCTTCATATGTTACTTTCTTTTTTCCACAGCTGGGCACAGTATCACTTGCACTTTTCCGCACCCTCATCGGCTTGTACTGTGAAGATGTCATGTTGCAGCTCATATTGAGGTATTGAGGCTACCTGGTGTGTTACCATCTGTGTTGGGAAGTAACATGCACCAAAAATACATATCAGAACACACATTTCTAGCAACTGTATTCTAGTACTTGCTTTCATTTGGTTTTGTTTGGGTTGATTCAGTTACTTTCCAAATATCAAAGGAATACATTGCAGTACTTGATCACAAAGTATATGCTTCAAACTTCACTGAATCAGTAAGGAAGATAGAAAACACCACTCTATGGTGATGTGTGATTTTTCCTTCTCTAATGAGTATTAGGAAATGCATAACAAAGGCTGAAACAAACATAAAGCCATTTTGAATTCTATGTTGCATTTCTACTCTATATATTAAAAGCAACTTGGTGTAAAAGTATTCCAGGTATTCAGAATGCAGTACTCTGATAGGGCATATATCAGAATACGTTACAAAACGCATTTTAAGGAGGTATTCAGTACTCTGTAAGTAACTAGGCCTGTCATGATAACAAATTTTGAAGTGCGATATATTGCTAAAGTAAATAAATATAGATGATAATATAGAAACTAATTGATGCCACTGACACAATAACCCAAAAGCAGATTTAAACCACAAAAAATATTATAATATTATAATATTCTTAAAAAAAAAAAACAAAAAAAAAAACATGAGCTGCAATAAATAAATTGCAGAATGAAACACTCAAGTAATTAATTTGTATCTATAATAAGTCACAGAAGTTATTAATAGATAGTCTTTTATAGCTCAAATCTTATCATATAGTCATAAAATAATACATTTCTGACTAGTTCAAAGAGAAGGTGCATGTGATAAATATTGACCCCCAAAAATATTGCCCCATTTGTGATATACTGAATGATATAATAGTAATGATCATAATAGGAAATACATTTTCAAATTATTCTTCACTGGTCATCATTTGCCCCTCACTACCCCATGGCCATGTTGTGGAATTAACAGGATGTCCCTCCTCTTTTCTTGGCAGATACCTGATCCCCTGTAATCACATGATGTTGAGTCAGAGGCGTGTGGTGAGGGAGAGAGACTGCTACTCTGTGTCGGCAGCTAAGATCTTAGCACTAACGCCGTCCTGCTGCTCCCCGGACAAAAGCCCTCCACCTTTAAGACAGCTTGAGTCTATACTGTTCTCCAAGGGCCCCGAGGCATCAGGTGATGAAGGAGACACACGCAGTAACAAGCAGCAAATTTTCATTTTCATGTCTGTTGAAACATGACCATGTGACATTTTCAAACCCTTATATGAAAAGGAGATAAAGCGGCATTTTCTGAGAACTCAAACTTAAAATAATGAAACTTAAAGTAGTCGACTAAAGAAATTCCTGGTCAACTAAAGACATGTCCTGCCGCTTGATTAGTCGACAAAAAAGGGGGCAAAACTCTCAAAACTTTAGTGTGTCTTGATGTATCTGATCCAAACTGTACTCACAAGACTACACCTGCATGGGAGTTAATACAAAAACAACTATTTGTGCAATAAAGTACTAGAAAACAATCTATTTAAAGACAGATTAAACTTGTAAATTTAACCTGCCTTTTTAAACATAAACGCCAAAAAAATACCTAACTCACTCACCTTAACTCAGCTTCTCCTGTTTGCTTTCATCCCATATAAATCACTGTAATCTAAATAAAAGTATTAGTTGATTAATGTGAATCTTGTTTGACTAAAACACCATCAACTGTTTAATCGACCACATGACTAAAGGCCTACAGCTCTACAACTGTAATAATCCAATATTTTTTCTCCTCAGACAAAATTGAAAGCTTCTCAGATGATGACGACGGCATGGGGAACTCCTGCAAAATCGGCTCAGAGATCTACCTGGATGTGAGCTACCTTCACTACCTCTACGATGCACGCCTCAGCATCAGCAGCTGTCTGCGGGCATGCCAGGTCTGGTCAGCACCCTATGACGGCCAGGACCCGCCGCCGGACAAGTTCCAGGCCGGGGTACTGGAAGAGCCGCTACTCAAAACCAAGCAAATTAATATTAAGAAAATCCAGCAACCAGTCCTGCCTAGGAGACCACCACCATCAACTAGTGACTCGACAGCTGCCATTTTGGAGCTGGAATGGGATGATAGTTACGATGCCTGCCCGGTGCAAAGTTCAGAGGTGACTGTGGAAGAAAAAACTGTTCTACCAGAAGTTGAGCCACCAAAACACATACAAGAAATGCGGCGAACGGCGATAATGCTTGTCAAAGATTCGTACATAGAAGAATCAGAGTTCCAAGATGATGTTATGGTGTACAATTTGGTCGCTAAAAAAGACAGCCAAGACGTAGAAAGAACTAAACAAAAATTATCTGAGTCAGAAGATTCAGCAGTGGTGGATATTAAAAAAGTGGTGAAAGGTAGTGACGTGAAAAAGGATTGTAATTCGAATCATAAAAGCTCCACATCGGAAATGGCGGAGGATCTGCTGGCCCAGTATGAGGACTTGATCCGGACTTTGGACCCAGAGGCAGGGGAGAAGACTGGGGGAGCGGAGGGAGAGGGGGAGAAAAGGGTGGAGGAGGAAAGAGATGATGGAGAGGAGGAAGAGGAGATGGATTTTAGTTCATTCGCAGCAGAGACGCCAGAGTCTGACAAACTGCAGTTTCCATTTGGGCCTAAGCTGAGGAGTGGGAGCACGAGTAAATGTCATTCAGTGCCGTTTACAGGTGAGTAATAGGCTACTGGATACTTCCTTCACTGGATCATTTAATTTGTATTAAAGGCATGCACACTGGACTCTCTCAACAATAGGCAGATTTTTTTTACACACACACACACACAAACACAAAGAAAGAAAAAAAAACAAAATCTAAAAGGGAAAAAAATCCCCAAGACATATCAACAGAAGTTTGTGTGATGGATGGAAGGGAGTTTGGGAAGAGGCTCCTGGGACCAGACTAGTGTATAATATGTTACCATATTAGCATGATCCTCTCCAGTGTATTCCAGGAAAGGTCCTCACGCTCTAAAAAAAAAACAAACTAAAAAGTTATATTTTATACCTTTAAGTATAAAAGTAAGTCTTTCCAGTGGAAATAGATAGAAGTTTGGTTTTGATTCATTTAACCATTGTCGAATAATTGTTAAGGGGGCACACCACTATAGCATACTTAAGTTTTTAAGAAGTTTTTAAGATGGATACTTTCAGCCAGAGGAGGCCACAGCCTTTTCCACTGTGATGTAATCCCTTTGAGGGATGCTACAAATGAATAAATCCTGACAGATCAAGCAGTGGATGTATTGATGATGTTAAAACATTTTTGCTTTTGCTAATACTAACTTTTATTACTTTTAAATAATATTACTCAAAGCAGTGGTCCATATATATTCTAGAAGATGTGTTTATTTTAACTTTTCAACCTAAAAAGTGTGCTGTGACTCAAAAAAGGTTGAAAACCTTTGCTCTAACCTGTGTCTGTGCTTCCCCAGGGCCGTTTATCAGTGTGCTTCTGTCCCGTCTGGAGAACATGCTGTCAAACTCTCTCCACGTGAACCTGCTCCTGACAGGCATCGTGGCACAGTTGGCAGCGTACCCCCAGCCGCTGCTGCGCTCTTTCCTCCTCAACACAAACCTGGTGTTCCAGCCCTCTGTGCGCTCACTCTACCAGGTAACAGAAAGACAATCTTTACTGATCCACAAGAGAAATTATTTGGACACAGTAGCTCACACATCACAATATATTCTAATAACAAAGAGCAACGGTAAAAATAGCAATAATTAATTCAAAATAAGTAGCAGAAATAGCAAGAGACTGGTATCAAATATTGCATAATTATACATATGTACATGCACAAGTAAAAATAATAATGATATACAGATACAGTATATAGTAACATGCACAGGTCTACTCACACAAACCACTAACAACTATTATAATGTTTCATAAGGAATTTGTCTCACAAAAACTGTTATTTTATATTGGCAAGCCTTAAAATCCCTTTGTTATTTTTTGTTCAATAGATACTGGCAATTTCTAGGCTGAAATTATAAAAATGATTCTAGCAAATGGAGTTATAACACAACCTACCTACATATTTTATTTATTGTTTCATTAGAGAGCTTATGTAAACCTATATTCACTCATCACACTCTGTTGTTTTATAATTAGAATTTTTGTTTTGACAAATTATTAGAAAGTAGAGTTTTGTTTTGCAGCTTTGTTCTGCAGCTTTTTACCAGTAGAGGGAGACATACAAATAAACATGACAGTGGAGGAAAGTGTACTGAAAATTTGTACTCAAGCAAAAGTACCGTTACATGTCTAATAATGTACTCGATTACAAATACTGCTGCCAAAATTGTACTTAAGTAAAAGTAGGAAGTACACATTAAAAATACTACTCAGAGTACTAGTTACAACTTACTTCTTAACACAGTTTTGAAGCATTTAGGATCAAGCTTTTATACAAAACTTGCTTAATTAAAAAGTGTGAATTAAAATTTAATTAATTAATTAATTATTGTTTTTTAGTCGCTTTAAACCACAATCTGCATATTCCCTGAACTCTGTCAAATAAGAGCAGGAGCAGAGCTGTTTTGTGTGTAGGTTTAGAAGAAAGCAGAGACAGCACAACTAATGTGACTGCACTATTTGGACTTGTACAATACTCAGTAATTACACAAAAAATCTACTCAGTTACAGTGACATGAGTATTTGTAATTAGTTGTGTAATTATAATTTAGTTTGTCCCCCAGGTTTTGGCCATTGTGAAGAACCAGATCGAGGAGCTGACTGTGACCAGGAAGGACTTCACTGAGATGATCACCACCGCCCAGCACTGGCTCCTGGCCCGGGAGACCACTTACAGAGCCACAGGTGCTCCTCACAGCAGCCACAACAGCCTCTACGCTACATGCTATTCTCATCTGGGGAAAAAAATGAATAAATAAATAAAAAAATATATATATATATATATATATATATATATATAGATATAGATATAGATATAGATATAGATAGATAGATAGATAAAAAAAAAAATTGTTTCTCACCTTCCACGGTGGTAGGTCTCTCTCACTCTCATTCAGCTCGGGTCCTCTACCAGAGGCCTGGGAGCTTAAGAGTTCTGCGCAGTATCTTTGCTGTTCCCAGTACTGCACTTTTCTGGACTGAGATGTCCATCGTTTTTCCCGGTATGTGTTGAAGCCACTCTTCCAGTTTGGGGGTTACAGCCCCGAGTGCTCCGATCACCACAGGCACCACTGATGCCTTTACTTTCCAGGCTCTCTCCAGCTCTTCCTTGAGCCCCTGGTATATATATATATATATATATATATATATATATATATATATATATATATATATATAATATATATAATATAGATATAGATAGATAGATAGATAGATAGATAGATAGATAGATAGATAGATATATAGATATAGATATATATATAAAAAATATAGGCTTCATAAATTTTTTGTGCCTTCACTGAGATGACATTCTATCTTAATCAATGTTATTACATACAGATACACACCTGCTCTAATCCCTGGAGGTCACAGGGATTTGAGAAGTTTTTACATGTCATTACAGGTTTTTACTGGTTTTACTGACTTCAAAAAAGCTTTAAAAGTTATTTGTAAAAGGATTAAGACTTGCTTAAAATTAATATTTGTTTAGCTGGTGTCATTTTATCTTTTACTTCAAATGCTATATGTGTGTGAATAAAACTCCAAATACAAATACTTATGGTCATGGAGATGTAGCCTGTAGCCTAGTATTCTAGTATAGTAGTTCCAGTATTTAGTCTGATTAATTGTATACTATGTGAAAAACAAAGAAGGTTGTAGCTTCCTAATCATTCACTAGAGACAGGATTAACAACTAGGACTAGGTTTTTGGACAATGCAACTCTTTCTAATTAGATGCAGACAGTTCACAGCAGTCTCATTTTAATTCTTAGAACTGTTTTTACAATATATCTGTGCTAAACAGCTACTTTAGCTCAACTAGGCCTACATGGACAAATATTGGGTCCATCCACTTCAACATAATAATGACTAATGTAATATTTTCCAGAAAACAAACGAAGTGCTGGCAACAGCTCCACTTCAGGCGAACCAGGCCTGCTCCTCCAGAACTCTCCTCCCCCCAAACCTAAGGCTATCTCCTTGGACCGCACGGAGGTCTTTGCTACCGTCCTCTTCTCTGAGTTCCTCAAAGAACTGGCCGCCATTGCTCAGGAACACTCTATCCTATCCTACATTCCCATGGAGGAATGAGCACGTCCATCTCACTTGTAAAAAGACTGATTTTGAAGAAAACTATTTTTAAGTTACAGAGTATTTATTTTTCCAGACTAGAGAATAACTTCAATATTTTTACATACTGTTCAGCTATTCATTTTGAGAGCAACATATTGAGCGGTTTACAATCTCCTTTGCAGCCAACCACCAAAGACAATTAGAAAAATCTATTTATTTAATCTGAACTTCAGGTTTGATTTGAAAACACCAGCCTCATTCGCACAATGAAATCTAATATTGATACTTAGCAGTAACATCATGCTGGGAGTGTTCTGCCTGTATGTTTAAGACAAAATGAGCAGTTCTCTGGTGACATAATGTACACGTGAGCAAACACTACCAAGAAAGTTTTAAGACTGTCTGAAAACTCAAGAAAAAATACGTCAAAAAATAACCTCACCTGTTGTAGTTCCAGCTACTTCAGCTAAAGTCTAACTTGAGTAACAGAGCTTCAGACAGAACAGAGCCTACAGGTAGCATCACACCCCCAAGGCAACATTGATGGCATCAGCTGCAATCACTGAGGCTGGTGTACGGATGAGGGCTGCTTTTAATTTTGGCAGAATTGTTTTATATTTGGTCATCATAATAATCTTGAATTTTTTTTGTTTTGTTTTGTTTATTTGGAGGGTAAGCCCCGCCAATTCTTGTCAACGTTGCACAATCCCTATATTTAATGGAAGCAGCCCAAACCATTTCTGTGCATTAACTGCATTTCTGTATTGTCTTTTTCTAAACTTGGGTGACTTAGGAGTTCCTCAAATAACAGCCTTGGATGTAAGCAACATCCCATAATACGAAGTGTCTTGTTGCACACATTGGTACGACTGATAAAACGCCCTTATGCCTTATTGCTCTGTACTTTCATTTACAGAAGAAGACTATGCAAATCCCTTGTGTTGGGTATAACACTATAACTAAAGTGTGTGTATTTTCAGAATGGGAATGGGGTATTTAATACGTTTCTATTGCCACATTTTTCAAATTATTGTATCTGTTATGTTGTCTTATGTTATTGTAAATAATAATAATAATGACCATCATATTCCATAGAAGTATGCTTAGTGATAAAGCGTGGTTATTTCAATTTACCTAAACAAAACCATGAAACTAGTGCATTCATTCTTGATTTAGTTTTGAAAGGGCAATAAAATAATATTTTCTACTGGGTAGTTAGGTTCAATTGAGGTGATTGTTTCCTTGCTCCTGTAAAAAATAATGCATTTTTTTATGGGGCAGAAAATCTTTTTAATGGAGAATAAAACGATCCAAACCCTAAGCCTGTAAAAGTAATGCTTTTTGTAGGGGTAAATAAGTTAAGTTCTTTTCTGTTAAGTTCCGTAAGGCCATTGGTTTGATTCTGAAATGTTGTTTCTATGTTCTGGATGTCTGAGAAGCACCAGCAAGCATTTGTCTTTGAATAAACCCTTTGGTTCAAAATGGTGCATGTGGGTGATGGTTTGTCTTTGCTTACAGTAGTTGCACGGCAAGTCAAATAAAATCAAAATAAGAGATTCAAATTTGGCAAATAAAGCCACTTGACCATTAAAGTGTTAGTCTTGAAAACCACAACAAAAATTTTAACATAAACAACTTAACCAATCAGAAAGCAGAATGAGCCTCACACAAATTTCTCATTTGAGTTGCTTTTTAAATTTTAATCCAGTTGGTTTAAAACCTAAAAGGACTCTCTGATCTGAATACTCACTATCTGAAGTCCAGCAGATTCACCCAATTGATACTCAGCTCAATGCGTGAATCCCGGGGGTTCTGAGATTCACATGAAGCATGGCATGTCCGTAAACTGAGAATGAGAAAAACGTCTGTATCAAGGTCCCCCCCAAAAAAACAACAACACATATGCTAATGCTTATTACCGGTCCTTGAGTGAAAATTTTTTAGGAATTGCTGCTGTATATGCAAATTAAGGCACTATCTATCTATCTATATATATACACACACACACACACACACACACACACACACACACACACACACACACACACACATATATATATATATATATATATATATATATATATATATATATATATATATATATATATATATATATATATATAATAAAATCTTTTTTTTTCTGCAGCTTGATGTCAGAAGCGCAGGTTATAATTTATTGTGTCCACAAGAGGTCGATGTTGGCCAACACAGGCCTAGCTTTGTGGCGTTTGCTTTCTTTTCTTTTGCTACCTCATAACTAAGCACTTGCTACAGCTTTATAAGTTTAAAACATGGATCTATTAAACTAACTGGTTTAAAATCAGTGCCTCACAGCCGCTGCCCTGGGGGTCCCGACCCTCAGGGCTGGTTTAGGCTACAGTATCACAATACAGTAGCAACAAACCAAATTCACCCGCAGGCTGGCGCACCCTGACCAAATAGGATGCCGTTGAGCAAGCGGGATCCTGAAGTAGGTTCCCGGGATGTCCAAGTGCTGCCGGATGAAGGGCCGGGGTTGTGGCGTCATCTCCAGACATGTTGGGTGTTTCTCAGTTCCCAGGATCCTTCCTCCAAAGACTCATTTGCAGTAGAGCCAAGTGTTTTATTATAGATCCATGGTCCTGCTCACAGCGCCTGGGAGTTCACATGGATCAGGCTCCTGAGACTGAGTTGTACAGTTTTATGGAGTATGGTTTAACTGTATCTGTCACTTCATCTGTCTGAGCTGTAGGAGCCTGTTGGAGAATGAGTTCCTCTGTCCCTCTGTAGTCTGGTGCAGTGGGTGAGCAGGAGTGTCCATGATGGAGAGCAGTTTGTCCAGTGTCCTCCTGTCCCTCACTGTGACAAATGTCTCCAGCTTTACGGATCAGTTTGTCAATCTGCCCAGTGTCCCTTTTACTGGTGCTTCTCTTCCAGGAAACCACAGCCAAGTACAGGGCGCAGGCCACGACACACTGGTAGAACATCTCCAATAACTTGCTGCACAGAATGAAAGGCCTAAGCTTTCTCAGAAAGTAGAGTCAACTCCTACCCTTCTTTTACACAGCATTACAGTTGTCCCTCCAGTCCAGTCTGCCATTCACCTGGACGTCAAGGTACTTGTAGCAGTCCACTAGTTCCATGTCAGGGTCCTAGATGGTGATGGACTCCACTGGTGTCCTATTCCTCCTGAAGTCAATCACCAGTTCTTTGATCTTGTCAACATTCAGTGCAGTTCAGTCAAATGGGTTGCCTTGGACCATTCCACAAAGTTTGCAATCAGTGTCCTATACTCCAGATCCTGTCCATCTCTGATGCACACAACCACTGCAGAGCAATCAGAGAACTTCTACAGATGGCAGGACCTGGAGCTGTACTGGAAATCAGAGGTGTACAGACTCAACAGAAACGGAGACAGGATTGTACCATGGGGGGCCCCTACATTACTGACCACAGTATCAGACAGAGTGCTCCCCCTCACACGTACTGAGGCCTGTTTTACAGGTTGTCAGTAATCCAGGAGACAATGGAGGAGCTGACACCCATCCTGAGCAGCTTCTCACTCATCAGAAAGGGCTGAATTGTGTTAAAGGCATTGGAGAAATCAAAAAACAATATCCTCACAGAACCCTTGACACTATCCAGGTGTGAGTGAGCCCGCTGCAGAAGACAGATTACAGCATCCTCCACACCTCAATGGCACTGATAGGCAAATTGTAGAGGATCGAGGGATGGTGCCACCGGGGGTCTGAGCTGAGCCAGAGCAAGTCTAATACTTTCATAGCAAGAGACGTCAAAGCAACTGGTCTGAAGTCATTAAGTCCAGATGGTATAGGCTTCTTGGGCACTGGCACAATGCAGGAGGTCTCCCACAGCACCAGTATCCTTTCAAGCTTCAGACTCAGGTTGAAGAGAAAGTGCAGGATCCCAGTGAGCTGTGCTGCACATGTCCTCAGCACGCCGGGGTTGACTTGGTCTGAGATGAACTTACTCCAGCTTTCTCCTCACCTTGTTTCGTTTACTTTGTCTATCCCTTGCAAATACAAGATTTTGTGCCTCTGTTCTTCCAGTGTTACTAACTATATAAAGACATGCTGGTGTCAGCTGAAAGCATTACAAACTGTATGATTAAAGGGCCCATATTAAGACACTTTCCGAACTATGTTATAATGTTTCCCTGTTAAAAACAGACCTGGAGTTGTGTTTTGTTTCATTCACACATATTTAATACACAAATCCTTCATATTTATCGTTTGTTCTTCTTTGAAACTGAAAAAAATTCCTATTCCACCCTGTGATGTCATGTGGTAATACATATACAGAATACTCCACTGTGTTTTTAAACTCCATGCACCTTCACTAAAATCATTTGGATGACCAGCCCTGGAATTGCCAATCTCTACTGAACTTGTAAAAGCATATTGAACTTTGGAGATGTAGACACACTGATAATAAAGATTTGCTCAAACTTGTGTGAATAAAACAAAACACAAGTGCAGTAACAACATTCTAACATGGCTTAAAGTTCACAGGAGTCCATTTTGTCTAATATAGTAACTTTGGTTGATATATCAGTACGACAACAATAAGGCAAGAGCTGGGCTGTCACTTTCTTTACGTGGTCTTTAACTACCAGCATTGACAGCATAAGAAACAATATACACCAAGGGTGACAGAAAAGTTTGTTAATAAAAAAAGGAGAGAACTAAGGTTTTTTGTAAAAATCTATAATGTGATGTAAAACAGTGATTCTTAGCACCCCTGATGTAAACTATATGTTTTAGTGAAATGAATAGTCTAACACTTTAAGAAGCCCACTTTTTTTTTTTTTTTGAAAATCAGCCTACCCCATTTTTAAGTGAAGACTCAAAACATGTGTCCATGGTTTACACAGCAACATGGTGATTTATTGAGGTCATAGGATCTTCTGAAACATTAGCAGAAACAATATTTGCAGCCATATCTTGTGACAATCCATGTAGCTTGCTTAAGTAAATACAGTGTTTTTCAGTGTACCAACCAGGCAGGGCACTGCAGTGTCCACTTTACATCACATGAATCACAATCAAGTATAAAACTAGAGTCTATACATTTCCACTGTACAAGATGATAAAACATTGAACATAAATTAAAGGTCACTTGATTAAGACATGTCACTAAGTGTGGTAGCAACTTTATATTTTACTGGCCTCCTTTGTCCCACGTGAGAGATGTTTAGACTGCGTTGCCATGGTGACTGTTTAGCCATAAGGAAGCAGTGCAGAGAGAGGTACAAGGGGAGGCCAGTATGCAAATGCCACATCGGCTATGGTTACGTAAAGGGCACAGTGTAAGGCTCTAGAAGAAAGCAGCAGGGGGCAGGCTTGATCTAGTGGTTCAAAGGGTAGTACTTGTAGTGGTATATCATGGTAAAGGGTAAACTCCGCAGTGGTGGTAGAAGTACTCAAGTAAAAGTAAAAAGCATTTCACACATTTTGAGATCTAATAAAGCTTCAAATGTAGTGATTTTGATAAAGATTTGTGCTGGATTTTCTTCAACGAAAACCATTGAATCAATGGATCTTCCTAGTTGTTTTTCTTTGTATGTTTTTTTTTTTTCTCAAACTACAAATATTTAAAAAATGAACCCCTCAACCTTTTCAGCAGGTCTCAAACTATAATGAAAAATACTTTTACTTTTCAGTCCTGTTCAAAAATGTAGTGGAGTTGAAAGTACAGGTACCCTCTCTCAAATGTAGTAAAGCCAAAAAGTATCCACTAAAAATATACTTAAGTAAAGTACAGATACCTGCAATTACTTTTAATCTGTAATGTTGCACCAGTGAAACTCATAGTATCATGTACTACAATAAGCCAATCTGTTTAAGAACTATTTACTCAAATTTTCAATATATTAAGTAATCTTTTTAGACTCTTTTAATCTTTAATCTTTTAGTCTTTTATGTCAATCCAGAGTCTTGAATTCAAATAAATGTAGAAATATTTTCATGGGTTTCAGCTGTTTCATGTGGGACATTTTGAGGACTTTTCACCATTCCAAAGATGCCATGACAACAGTCCTAATATTTCATCACTCTTAAACCTATGGATACTTATACAAAACATAAAATATTTGGACAGAAAAAGGTAATACAGTTATTTATAATCACCACACCATTGGTAGTTGAGTGGGTATTGTAACAACAGTAAAAAAAAAAAAAATCAACATATACAAACATAAGTATATGTGTACAGTCCATGTAGATTTTTGTCCTTTCTTTTGTAATAAATCTGAAGAAAAATGCACTTGATGTCTTGTTATATTATTCTTTATAATTTAAATGTCTTTTGGAGAAAGTTTGCAGTGGACTACACAAGCTGCGTCATGCGATTGTGTTTGTGTCCTCTTCATTTGCATAAAAGGAAAGAGGAAAGTAGAACAGCAACTTTATGAGGGGATGGTTGGCTCTGTGCCCTGACGCTACCATGAGACAGACTTTAGATTTTGTTATAACGTAAACATCTTTAGTCAGAAAAATACTATGTCTTTACAATATGTACATGATTAGCAGTGTTTTTATGTAAAAGAATGTAAGGCAGTCTAGCACTTGTGTCTGTCTACAGGTGAGGCTACATTAAGCTCTAAGGCCATGAGAACAAGTCAAAAGAAGTGGTCAGTACAGTAAGATGTGATTGATTGCACTAACTAACTAACTTCCATAACTATGAAGTAGTTCTAATGCTACTAACATCTGTGCACGAGGTACAATTTGTACCATAGTAGATTAAATCTACAGAAGAGAGACATTCATATACTGTGTAGCATATAACTGTTTACATTTATCATGCTGAAACAAATAAGAAATAAAATTGTTGCCATTGTACATTTCTTCAAGCTAAGAAGCAAGCACCAATTGGTGCCAAGATTTTTTTTCTAACATGAGATAAGCCAAAATACTATCATAAAATTATATATTTAATTGTTCATTAAAGGAATATACAAAGAATATAATTCTTGTAGCTATCTGTTTAATTTCTGTCTCCAGGCCTGGACAATGTGGGGCTGGCCTTATGCACATAGTCTGCTAGCTTATGGCTAAAAACAATAAATCATAGCCCAAATGTATTTACCAAAGTATTGTGTAATAAATAATAACAACTGTCTGGAATTCCATATACTGATCAGGTGAAGCAGGGACTTGTTAGTTGGCTGCTCAATGTTACCCCTTATTTGCATAGCAAATAATTACAAAAAAATAACATTGAGAGAACTTTTTGATTCATGTTTTGATTAATATTTGAAGAAATATACACTGGCAACACTGTTGTTAAAAAACAAACTGTGCTGATAAAAGGCCACTGATAAAACATTCTGAGGTATTAGGCCAAACAAATAGAAAACCAAGCTGCTCCTAAAGGACTTCAGACAGTGTAACAGCATCCAAGCACTACAAACCATGTGACCCTGAATGAAACAGTGAAAATGCATTAGCAACAGCCAGTGTTTACTTCCTGTTTATGTGACCATAACCACAAGCATGTTCTTTAAAGACTGCTAAGCAGGCAAAAAGACTGTTCATTGCCGTTTGTCTACTTTCCTTTTGAATAAAGGACTTTAAGTATTAGTATTTCAGTGCAATGTTCACACAGAATCATCCAGTCTATAATATACTTTTTGATTGGTAACTGGACAACCATTCATGCGTCTTTTGCATCATATGAGAAACAGTAGACCTATCTAGACCACAATAGTCCATATAAAGTCTGTTTACTTCCAGCTTGGTTTTGTACTCCGACCACTGGTCAAGTCTTTGGTTGGAATGGACTTTTCCGAAAAACTACTGGTCTTGCGCTGGTCCTCTCTTGAAGCAGGAGGGGGTGGGGTCTCACTTCGGTATGAGCTACGACTAGCTGCCTTCACACTTTGCACCCTTCTCAGTCCTGCAGTCTGAGGACGCTCCTCAGAGGATGAGGACTTGTTCTGTTTAGCCTGCTTTGCTTGAACAGAAGGAGTACGGGACGGAGTTGACGGCTCCTTCTTGCTCCTTGAAGAAAATGCCACCGTATTCCGTGCAAAGCTTGGTACTTCCGATGCACTCTTGGTCGTAGCTGGGCTATTGTTATCGGAATTAGCTTGCGTTTGAGTCTGTGCCAGTGCTCGCATTGTCGACCTACACATTTTTTCTTCAGGTTTGGGAATGTTGCGCAGTGGTTTAGCGCTTGGTTTGTGGGTGCTAGCTTTCCTGGGTGTGGACTCTCTTGTCCATCTTGACGCAGACCCTGTAAGACCTCTTTGAGTTTTGGACTCGTCAGGTGGCATGCTAGAATGACGAGGTGTTCTCGTAGCCTTCTCGCTCCGACCTCTCGCTGGCGTGCTTTGGTCTCTCAGCGTTCTGCGAGTTTCTGTACTTTCTGTTTGTCTGTCTCCTCTTCTGCTGCTTCCTGATCTTGTTAGCTTGCTAATAGGCACTACTCTTCTCATACCCTGGTTTTCATTGCTAGTTAGTGTTCGGACACCACGGCTGGCAACAGTATTCTTGCTACCTTTGGTGGCTTTACCTTTAGCTTGCTTTTTACTGCCTATTTGCGTTTCTTTGTCAGTGCTTTGCTTGCCCTCGGCTGTTTCAGCACTTTCTGTATCCCAGTCCTCTGTTTGGGTAACAAAGGTAGCATCAAAATCAACTCTGTTAGGGGCAGAGATGTCACTCGTTGACAGCTCATTTGGAGATTCTAAGTTTGACGACAGAGAACTGGGATCATGTTCTTGGTTTTTGCCGGTTCTGAAGAGGTCTGTCTCGGAGTAATCCAATGTAACTGAGCAGTCTGTTTCAGTGCAGTCTATAATATAAAACATTGGTGTCTTGTTGGAGACAGAGGGGTCCAGTGGAAGAGGCGTGTCACAAGTTGTAGATGAAATTGTACTGTCAAATTCCTCATTGTCTTTTCCAAATATTCCAGGTTTTTGAGGAGGATGTGTTTTTGCTTCTAAAGCTGCCGTTGGGGTTTTTTGGACTATTTTATTTCCAGTGTCCACATTCACTTCGTCATGTTCTAAGTCAGTAACAATTACATCCTCAGGTTTGACAAAATGCATTTGACTGCTGTTGTTGTTGGGGCTGGGGAGCTCAAAAGGTTGTGGCCCCCGCACTAAAGTGTGTTTCTCCACACTGACATTCATCTGTCCAGTAATAGTTGTGCTGGGGACTTGTGCAGCTTTCTGAAACACAGAAAATGGCCGTGGCAAAGCACTTCCCTCCGATACAGAGGAGTACTGATTATTGTTATTGTAAGGGTCTGCATTGTCATTTATCCTGGATGAGGAAAACCTAGCAAGCGGGCTAATCGGCTCAGTGTCTGCAAGTCTGTCCCAGCCCAGCTCCCGGTTGTCATCTTGGCCTAGCATCCATGGAGTGGTCCTTCTCTGGTGAGGCCTCCCTGAGCGTGGTAGGCTGTTGAACTTAGAACAATCATTGTCGTTGCGTCCGAAGACTTCCAGGTAGCCTTGCAGCTGGCGATCTGCTGTGCTGGTCATGGTGTGGCGATGGCGGCGGGCACTGGCGGAGCGGCTCAGAGGGCTATGGGGGCTCTGGGAGCGATGGAAAAACTCCAGCAGGCCCTCCTTGGTCAACATGTCTACATCAGTCTCACTGGAGCTGCGGCCGAAGCCCCCGCTCTGGTCAGAACCAGACCAGGCGCTGCGCCGCTCCTCCAACTCTCTCAGGCGGCGCTGACGTGCCGCCTCTTTCAGCTCTCGCTCTGTGTTGTCCTGAGAAGAAGACAAATCATAATTATTCAACTGCTAATTATTTTATTATCAGCAGTTTTTATGTATTTACAGTCAAGCCCAAAATTATTCATACCTGTGACAAATTTTGACTTGAAGTTACTTTCATTGAACCAGAAAGTTTTTTCTAGATTGGAAATGACACAGGCATCTCCCAGAAGAAAATAAGACAATGGACAAGACGCATCATTGTAGAAAAAAAAAAATCTCAGTTTTTATTTACATTTGAACGAAAAGTGGCATGTCCAGAATTATTCATACCCTTCTCGATAATCAATAGAAAAGCCTTTATTGGCTATTATAGTAATCCAATGCTTCCTATAGTTGCTGACGAGTTTTTGCACATCTCCACTGATATCTTTAGCAGTCATTTTTAGCAGTGAGCTCCAATGATTTCAGATTGGAGGGTCTATTTGCCCATCACCCTGATCTTTAGCTCCCTCCACAGATTCTCAGTTGGATTCAAGTCAGGACTCTGACTGGGCCACTCAAAACGATAATGTTGCTGTCTAATAAACATTTCTTCACCACTTTTGCAGTGTGCTTTGGGTCACTGTCGTGCTAAAATGTCCACTGGTGCCCAAGTCCAAGTTCCTCTGCAGGCTGCTTGATTGTTGTTGTTGGCCTTGGTGGTAATTTGTTTCTTTTTCACCTCTCTCACTATCCTCCTGGCCAGCACAAGTGTCACTTTTGGCTTCTGAACACATCTTGTGAGATTTTCCACAGTGTGGAACGTCTTGTATTTTTTAATAATACTTTGCACTATAGCTACTGGAACTTGAAAACATTTAGATATGGCCTTATAGTCCATTCCTGACTTGTGAGCAGCCACAAAGCGCAGCCGTAGATCCTCAGAGAGCTCCTGTTCACAAACCAACTGCAAAGACCTGCTGTTTTTCACCTGTTCAGTTGCTTAAAACAGCGCTTCCCAATGAATCAGGGTAATTAGGAAGTTTTATAACAGCTTGGGCTCTTTGGAATGGTATAGAACTTTGGATTTTTCCATAGACTCTGACAGTTTACAAAGGGTATGAATAATTTTGGACATGCCACTTTTTGTTCAAATGTAAATAAAAGTTGAGAAATTATTTTTTTCCACAATGATGCCTCTTGTACATTGTCTTATTATCTTCTGGGAGACGCCTGTGTCATTTCCAATCAAGACAAAACTTGCTTGTTGAATAAAAGTAACTAAGTCAAAATTTGTCAGGGTTATGAATAATTTTGGGCTCGACTGTAACTTATATACTTTGTATTTTGTTCAGCTAGAAGTTATATAATGTTTTCTGCACTAGCATACTGCTGATCCATGGTGATGGTGTTATGTGAGCAGCCGCACTGACCTTGACTGCCTTCTTGAACTTATGGCAGAAATCCTGGAAGATCCGGAAGCACTCGTCCAGCTTGAATGTGTCCTTGTCCTCGCAGAAGAAGTCAATGAGGCTGTTGCCCTCTTTGCGCAGATCCAGCCTCCGCCTCTTCAGGTCCTGCAGAGTCTGAGCTGCGCTCTGGGTCACAGCAGAACACAGGCAGGACTTTAACCACTTTATTATTAGGGTGTGTATGACAGGTTTTTACAATTCACTCATTTTGATTTAAACTGGTGGGATAATCCCCATTGTTTACACCACTCAAGAAGCCACTGGCAAAGAAAACTTGAAAATATTTTGAAAAATTACAAGTAGGGAGTTCTAAAGCATATGAATGACATTACGCAAGGGAGATTTCTGATCAAACTAAAAATTAAAAGTTACTCAAGTAAATGTAACTGAGTACTACCCACCTCTGCTAAGCCTTAAATGCAACCAAGCATTACCACAAAAAGGTCGAGACAAACACAGTCCTGTCTGCTTTTTTGATTCCTTACAAGCATTTTAGGCCCAAGGGCTTAGAAGTTTTATAAGGCATCAATCAATTCTGAGAGTCTGGATGAAACAAATGATATTGGCAGTACTACTTGGTCTTCATTATGAAAGAGTGTCACCTGCAGAAAGGGCTGGAGCTGCTGTTGGAGCTCTTGATCTCCCTGAACCTTCTCCTCCAGAGTTCTGATGCGGACGTACAGAGAGGAGAACTCTGTCTCTATGTTCTCCACTGAGATCCTACAAAAAGACAGGACAAGGGAGTGATGGTGTATTGGCGATAAGCAATATTGGAGGATTTACACAGATATCAGAATTGGTACAATATACTGTCCCAGTCTCTGTGTGCCCATGTCATTCCCAGTTTGTCCTGAGTACATCATATTTGTCTTTTTGAAGACTCATAGGTGAAAATATGAATTTATCCAAGATAAATAAACTTTGTTGTTATTTTTACTGGAGTTGGTGCCATGCAAGGACTTTTAAAAGATTAATATTGGTTATCGACCACAACAAATATCAAATACAAATATCAGCTCAGCTGACATATCAGCTCAAAAAAAAAAAAAAAAAAAATCATATTGGACCATCTCTATTATAAGGGGATATTAGCCAATTTGTAACAGAACACATTAAAACAAAACTATGCACACTGTCTCTGTCTCATTTAAGGAGTAGTCATGTGTAATTGTTATATATGTCACATAGCAAAGGTTCATTTAATGAAGTTAATCACATTTAATAGTAATATCTTAAATGGTGGAAAAACACGAAAGTGAAGAAAGTATAATTTTAATGCAAAATGTCACATGCCTGGTATACAATAATTCTGACAACAATCTAAGTTTCTCAATGTGATATTGTTAAAAGTACACAATGTAACTTTTAGCCACCTTCTTGTCTTTACGGAGTTGTTACCGCTTTGCTTTGGACATAAGCAGAGGATGCTACAGGTCATATCTGTGGAGAAACGTCCTCACTCACCATAAGAATATGTTTTGCAAGGTATTTCTGAGCAATCTAAACACTCCACGGTAAGTTGCACAGGGTACATTTAGGGATTACATCAAACAAAACACCAAATATACACTATACTTGATGAGATGAGGTATTCCTACATGTGAATGAGAAAGCCAAAGTCACTTCTCTGATGGCAGACTGTTATAGGCTTACATAAGAGACTGTAGTGCTGCGTGCTGCGTAAGTACATTAAACAGAGATGACCTTGTGATGTGTGGAGACAAACTGCAGCCTCACTGCAGTCCCCCTGTTACATAACCCCAGCCTCTATGCCATTGCCATAACATATTCTGCACGTTCAGCTGTTTGCAAATACTTTCTCCTATACCAAAATCAATAACATATTTAACATCTTCTGTCAAATATGTCTCTTGTTAATCTGTGAATTTTCTGTGGTGTTGTCAGACAAATATATCAGCCAGTGATCAAGCTTGCCTCTCCACAGATCTGACCTGTAACTTGGCCAAAATTGGCCATCTGAAAAGTTTTCATAGTCAATTCTATGGGAGGTAAATGAGGTTTGTAATATACCTGGCTGCACTCTGGACATCCAGGAGCTTCTCTGGAAACCTGAGTAGTTTCTCATCTTTCTTCTTTGCCTCCTGTGCGGGCAAATATAATCAGGGTCAGATAGGGTTAGACACTGAGTTCGACATTACTGCAGAATCTGTATTATCTAATGCTGCACTGGCCACTTTTGGCTTATGATGATGGTTTCCTGTCACCATCTCACCCAATTTCTACTCCAGTCCTACTCCTACATGTTTAAAATACATACTTCTTCACAGTTTTATTGCAACTTGAGAAGAACGCATCCGCAATAATCTTTTTGCCTTCCATATAAATGTATACACAGATACTGACCATGGCGACAAAGTGCAGCAGGTTCATGCCGGGCTTGTTAGCCTTGGTGTCTGCTAACGAGAGCAAGGAGGATAGTTTGAAGCCCACAGCATTTCCAGCGTATCCACCCTAAGGAGCAAACACATATCATAATTACACCACACCAACATGGCAACCACAATGCTGTAAGTCCTGGAAACATAGAGCAGGTGGAAAGACCTAAACCCCAATGATCACCTGTAACATATGTACAGATATTAGGAGACAATATGGGAGACTTTGGTGCATTTATTAATATATTATAGCTGTTGCAAGTGTTAACACCATGGTCATGAACAACAAGCACTAGATAGTTTTTATTCACACTTGCATACTTATTTAGAGTATCTGAACATCATAAAAAATTAATACGTTTCATTTATTTAAAATAAGTTTTTGGAAGTTAGTAGATAAAACTCGAAAAATCTGAATTATTTTTCCAATTGTGTATAAAGTGTATTATAGTATATATATATTTATTTAAACTTACTTAACAAAGTATTAAAAAATAGCAAATAGTTCTATAGCAAAAACAGAAAACATTCACAACTCAAATATAATAAAAAGGGATGACCCCTCCCCTTCTCAAGTTGCCACAGAAATCGTCAAATACATGATTGATTGTTGTATGTTGAATGTCGTATGGACTTACAGCATTCATGATATTCCCGGCCTGCAGCACCAGATGTAGAATTGCATGGAGCTCTTCACAGCTCATCAGCGCTATAAAAAACAACATATATATTTATTTATACTGTAATTATTAAGAGTTATCAGAATAGTATAAGTTCAAACTAAATTTGATACTAAGGAAAAAGTTTTATATGATTTTGATACTAATCAATACTAAAATTGATATCGAAACTAAATGAGCGGGTATTGATACTAAAAAGATACATTCACAGGACAGAAATGAATAGCTTTAGAATCTTGAGCTGTATTAGAACAACTATAAGACCACAGTAATATGGTGATAGTGAATAATATACACCCATGGACCACTATTGAACTGCATTTTGTATCATGATAGTGAATGAGTGAGTTAACGGAAGATTTGGTATTTTGTTATTTATATGTAAAAAGGCAATTCACAAGTTTAATCTGTCTTTTTGATCTTTTCTATGCCTAATTTTTTTTTTTTTTGCATTAAGCTGCATGTAGGTATAGTCTTGTGAGTGCAGTTTGGGTCAGATACACTGAAACGTGTTCTGAGAGCTTTTGCTTCACTCCCTTTTTAGTCGACTAATCGGCAGGACGTCTTTAGTCAACCACTATAGGCCTAGTTGGAAGTGTTATAGCGTGACATGCAATAATAACTCTTTTCTGTGATATTGTATGAAACTTAAGTCTGCTTATTAGATTTCGCATGTGACATTTACATGGGTATTGGATGTATGGGACTTTCCATTGTAATGCTATGGGATGTGAGCAGTTAGATGATGGTAGTAAATTCTGTTAGTGCCGAAGGATTTTTGGCCTGTGCTGTCTGGGTTATCTGAGATGTCACTATGGCTCAAATCACACCTGATGCACTAGTAGTAGTATCAAGTGTGAATGTAGTGCTGTGTCATTAATTTCAAGTCCTGTGATGATTTTTTTGTAATTTATGTGAGAGAAAATAAAATACTGTGCAAAAAGTCAAAAGTGTAGGGTCATGTTTTAAAAGTTGCTCAAACTGAAACTTGTTTCTTTTGTTTCAATCGCACGTTTTGCACACAAACGCTGCATATTTAGGCTGAGTTGTTCTCTCAAACAGAACACACTTTTAAACACCGTCACTAGAATAATTTGGATTATTTCAGTCTTGGAATTGCCAGTCTCTATAGAACTAAAGGCAAAAATAAAACATCAAACATACAAAATAACCATCAGAATGGGAGATATAATAGTAGATGGCCTAATAAACCAGCCAGGGTTACTCAAACATGTGATAATTAAACAAAACACAACTCCAGGTATGTTTTTTATGAGGTAACAACATTCTGACATGGCTTAAAACTCACAAGAGTCACTTTTGTGTAGTATAGGATGGAGGATATAAGTTAAGTGGCCCTACAGGTTACAAATCATGCAAGCAGTGTCATGCCAAAAGAGTGCTCAGTCACAGTCAGTATCCTGTTCCCTCCACTGCCTTGTGGGCGCTCTCCAGCTCACAGCTCATATAACTGGGTCACCTGGGTGATTGAGGCAGGCTGTATTACCTTTAGTGGCCACACGGATGACATTGATCTCGTTACTCATCACTGCACAGGAGGGGAAAAACTCTTCACGCAAAACCATGGCCTCAATACGCAGCTCGAACCTGCAGGGCCAAAGTACAGTTTAGCCGTTAACAATAAAATTACTATGGACTGTGTGATATGAGTACTACCACCTTTTGCAGAGGTGGTAGTACTCAGTTACAATTACTTGAGTAACCTTTAAAAAGAATTGTAGTTTTCAGAGTACTTTACTACCAGCATAGTTTTACTCTTACCATCCTCTTACTCTTAACATCCTTATTGAGGTAACAATACAATTACTTGAGTAAACATTTTGGTTACTTTTCTCATTGTGAGCAAGTCTACAGGTGATAAAAGCTTTATGTTGACAATATAAAATTATTTGAACATTTGTGTTTCTTACACCGCTCCTTCAGATATGATTTAGTTTGTCTAAGTTTGGTGTCTTCAAAATCTGAATCAATTATTATGGTTACTCCTGCTATGGTACTTCTACTTGAGTAATAGTATTTTGAAGTAAGGTTACCTTTACTTGAATATCATTTTTGGCTACTCTGCACTTTTGGAGGTTGAATTGTGTGTAGTGCAATTCAGACCATTACTTAAACTTGGTGAAAGACAATACAGCCATACCCTGAGACAGCAAACTGTAAGTGCGATATGGAGCTGCAGTAATCTAATGTCTTACAGCAGCGGAAGAGAGATTCGAAAGCAGCAATTGTACAAATGATATGTCAGGTTTTCTATTATATGCCGTGTCATCACAACCAAAAAGGAAAACCAGTGGCTGATAATGATTACTAGATACTGTTAAAGGTGCACTGCATAACTTTTCCAGTTGTGAAAAGTGAAAAGCTGTGAAAAGCACTTATAAATGATGAATGATTAAGACGCTCGAAATGTATAAGGTAAGTGAGTAATAACTTTGGACTGTTTAAATTGAACTAGCTCTTGTTTTCACATTTTAAGATCGTAAAAATTGGGTACAGTGCAGTTACGTGACCTGTAACTTGGGTATCCATACAGACAGAATATATATTGCCATAAAGAGGACCATTTTAGACAAAACTATGACAAATCCATGGAGACAAAAAAAGTGTCAACTATTCTAAAAGTTTCATAATGCACCTTTATGTCATAATGGACATCTATTTCAAAATGGCAAAAACATAATTATCTACAAATAATCTTCTTTGTGTTCATTGGATTTACTCTAATTCTTTTTGCCACAAAACCTGTCTAGTTTTCTTTTCCAATCCCTTCTTCAGACTCCCACACCTTAAACCTAACGTACCGCGGCACTTGGATCAGGAGGTACATAAAGGAGTCCACCAGTGCCAGCTTGTCCGAGTCGCCTTTGAATGACTGCAGCTTCTTCACCTGCTCACGAAAAAAAGACACAAACACATTACAAAACGTGACTGTATTAAAAAACACTTTCCTGTGACATTAGCCATGAAAAACTACAGAGGCAAGTCCAGACCTCCTCCACATCCGGCAGCAGCTTCAGCAGGTCTTTGAGTAACTCTGCGCCGTACGTTTGGCTCTCCCCTCGCCGAATGTCCTCTACAATGGCGCGATTAGACCTGAAAGAGAAGGTTGATTGCAGCTTTTGAATCCAAAGCAAAGTGTGTGAAAGTATGAGTATCTGAGAAATAGAAGCAAAGATTACTTACAGGGCATTTACGTAATTTTGTAACCTATGCTAAATGTCATATTCTCATCAGAAATATACTTGGAGTTGTGTTTTGTTTCATTCACAAATATTTAGCATAATCCTGCATATTCAGGCTGAGCTCTTTCAAACAGGAAGTGCTCCACTGTATTTTTAAACTCCATGCACCTTCACACTTAGAATCATTTGGTTTACTTTGCTTCATGACATCACAAGGTGGAACAGAGCATTTTGAGCTTTGGAGATGTAGACAGACTAATAACGAAGGGTTACTTAAACATGTGTGAATGAAACAAAACACAAATACGGTTATGTTTTTGATGAACAACATTCTAACATGGCTAAAATAAAGAGTTAATTTTACATAATATAGGCCCTTTAAGGAGTTCCATGTGAATGACAGCAATGTCTCAAGGCTGGATATATTTACTGTTTGAGTAACTTCTCTTCGGTGCCATTGTCCCATATAAATACTTAGAATCTAAATAAAATTATACATTAATGCAAATTTTGGTTGACTAAGACACTAATCGACTAAACAACTTAAAGTCACCATCTGTAATTAGACTGGCTGACTCACTCCTGTTGTATTCTCACATATCACTATTAGATGCTGCCTATGTTACTGCTGTCTGATAGAGTGTCTGAACAAAGTCCAGGTGAGGGGAGGGGCAACAAGTTTTGGATTTGCCATCTACTGGTTAAAAAAAAAATCTGATAAACTTGTTAGTTTTAAGGACTACAACACTAGTTACCCCATAAAAGTAATATCCCCTCTTTAAACAAATTTCAGATCTCATCGTAATTCAAAAAATGCAATTTGTTTTTCCAAAATTATACAGCCCTAACTCAAATCATATTGGTATTATTCTACATCTACAAAACAGAACAACCTTAAACACAGGCTCTGTTACTGAAGTGTCTGTACTGTGTCTGAGGTCTCACAGTCAAATGCCAGTGAAATTATGTGGGAGTGATGCAAATGTTTAAAACTTACTAAAGAACATCCTAGACTCCTAGTCTATTTAAGACAGAACACAACGCAGACTGGTACTAATCCATGGCATTTCCTAAACCTATTACACCAGAACAATACAACTGTTAAGGGATTGATTGATATCCAAAATTTCCACTATTTAACCACAAACTGTTCATTAGGGGTAGGGGTTCTGAATATGTTTATCTTCTATAGGGTTTTAATTGCTAACATATATTATATTTAGATCGCCCTGTTACCTTTTATGGTTTTGAAAATTCTATATTGGCTATATTTATGGAAAATTGCCATGTGGGAGCAGAGGTAACATAGGCTTGTGGGCTGACAACTGGACGGACTCGCAAAATTACTCAAACATGCATGGATGACATCTAAAATCTCTTTAGGCGTGTTTTTCGATGAGGGAACAATGAAGGTTTTTGATGAGGGAACAACATTATAACATGGTAGAAAGCTCCAATGTGTCCAGTGTGTTGCACAAATGAGTATCTAGTTTCTAGCGTATCAATTAGCCATAGTCATAGGAAAGTGTATAATAGAATTCAAAGCTCTTTTCATATATTACCGTTAAAAGATAATTATTGGTGCAGTGTGGATGGGAAACACTCGCACACTGATAAAATCTATAATAGTAAAGAGAGGACTTACTTCTTGAATTGCTTTAGGAAAATGCCCACATTCATCCCTCTCTTTGAGTCCAGGATGCTGATCTGTCACAGAGATAACAACACAGGATAATAGTGTTAGGTTTGTTGTAAACATGGGAACAATCTACATCATTTACATTGCAAATAAATAAACAAATACAAATCATATACTGCATATAGCACAGTCTATTGATGAATATACTTATGTTGATGCTGTTGGCTGACACATTGATTAAAGAACATATATTTAGATCACCATGTAAAATTTTACTGGTTTAAAAATGCTACAAAATGTTTAATACGTTCCACTTTTATTTTTGATACTCTGAGTCTTCCCTCCTTTAGCTCTCGATGCTAAGGCACTCCCACTTCAGAGTACTATCGCATTTCATTCACTGTGCTTTCTTCTAATGAACTGCACTTCGTATCAGGTTTGTGAAGTTGCAGTGTGTTATTTTGCATTATGCTTTTGTGTGTTTATGCATGGATAACATATAACACCACTTCAGACATGTTTTAGATGAGGGAACAACATTACAACATGGTTGTAAAAAAAGAAAAAAAGAAGCATACTAGACTACTTAAAGGGGATATATATGTATTAATATTCCTGGCATAGTTTTTAAAGAATTGATCAAAATAAAAGTAATTCAATTAATGACAATATTATTTGACTGGTTAAGTAGACTTATGCGGCATAAATAAAATGCATGGTTGATAGCTTAGACATTGGTTATCAGCAATAGACAATACATGAAAGGCACATACACTTTAGAAACACAAAGGAGCACTTTATAGAGGCATTTTTACAAGTTCACATTTGAATGGGAAATATTATATTATCATATAATCAGTTAGATTATCTTACCCTAGGAAGAACCTTTACAGCTAATGTAGGCCAATTACTGTAGTTTTGTCTTAGTGTCACTTACACAATACTGCTGCCAACTATATAACACCTAGTGACTCTTTTAGGTCCTGAAATTCCACCAGGTCCAGTCACCTCTTGTGTACAGTACATGCATTTTTAAACAGTTTGTAACAAAAGACATATTTATGGTTTTAAGTCCATACCTACATACAGCTGCATGTTTATTCAGTGTTGAGAAGTAACTGAGTAACCAAAAATAACGATAGTGATGATAAAAATATGACTATGATTATTTTTTTTATATTAGCTAGTATATATTAGTTGATTAATCATTGCAGCCTAAGATAGCAATACAAAATAAGATAATAGATAATAAATAAAGTAAAAATTGAGTTATTAATTTTGTTGATATTGCCCACCCCTAGTATAGATTATAACATTGACCAAATTGAAGATTAGACATTCTAATAGTAGTAGATGGATACAACAGGTTTTTACTTTCAGTGTACACGACACTACTCCCACAGGTCTACTCAGTCTCTTCACTTTGAACTGTTAACATACATTGCGGGGACTGAAGGTAAGTCACGTTTTATGTTTCAATGCAGTGTTTATGATGACGCAGATATGTTCCCATGATGACTGTGGACAATATTTACTGAAAGAGAAGCTGAAACTTAGCACCCATCGTTAATGTGTCCCTGTAGGGCCATATACAACAACAAGGGCAATAGAATACACTGTCAATGTCATTGTGGGGTTTACTATCAAATAGACTACTTACTGCCAAGTGTTTGAGAAGAAGAAACTGCAGCTTTATTGTACTGGCACATCTAGCCCAAAAAAGGGTGTTTTATTCTATCCATAAATAATTTTGTAAAAGCAGCTATTTGCTATAATCTTATAAAATCAAAGATGTTTTCAAACATGTTGTTGCTCTGTCATAGTTCAACATAAGAATGAAGAAGGCACTAGGTGGGCGGGGGTCACTGTTTATTTTGAAACATGTTCCTCATGCACGGATTTGTAGGAATGCTACTTTTTCTCATAAATTACATTACATTGTTGGATTTACGTACTGGCAGTTCATCCCTGTTTATTGTATATTGTGCGAATATTATGTGCAAACCTTGTATCTGATAAGCACTACCCTTACCTCATCTTTGGTGCTCTCCTTGAATGATCGGACCCTGGACACCTGCGTGGAGGACCCGGTGGGAGTGGTCAGTCCTCTGCTCCCTGCCTCCTCCTGCTGGCCAAACAGCTCCTCCACCGAGCGCACATCAATCTGGAACTGCTCCTGCTGCACCGCCATGGTCCAGATGTTTGGCTTCCCCCGCACCTTTTCCTCCGGGATTGTCTTCCAGAAAAAACTCCGCACACGACGCTTCTTCCGGCCGCCGTGGTTGCCCGGGAGCGGTGGTGGAGGCGGGGCTCCAGGCGGCGGGGGTGGAGGCAGGGGTGGAGCTGGTGGAACGGCATGTTTGGAAGAGTCGGAGGTAGTGGTGATGGAGGTGGAGGTGGAGCTGCTGCTGGCCTCACTGCTACTCTCTTGTTCCAAGGGTGTGGATGGGACACTCATAATAAGCATTGCAAGGGTCAACTCTTCACATTACTAATGTGTCCTTTAAAAAAATCATGGAGGAATTTTGTTTATTTTGAATGTCCAGGAATTGGGTAGAGTAAAAAATCCTCCAAACTTTTAAAGATTTGGTGTTGAAGATGAGATGAAGTTATTAAACAAGGACCTTTCATCACAGTTGACAATTATGCTTTAAAAATTTGTCTAACATAATACAAATTCGAATTTTTATTTGTATTTTGTATTTTTTTTTTACATTTTTGCCAGAGTTAGAATATTTTGATTGATTTCTATTTACATCCAAACTTGCACAAGTTTATGGTTGATTTCAAGTAATTGTTGTTTAATGTATGACCAAATTTTTGTTGACTTTTTCTGGTTCGAAATGTGAATACGCATCAGCGGCATTGTTTTTTAAAAATCATCAAATCATCAAATAAAAAATAATTTGATCTTTTGAAAACAAACATTTTTTTTTTTTATCCTTGGACCTTTACACTTCATCCATTCACCTTAATCTAATTTTAAAAACAGTTCCATAATCAACGCTAAAAAAACCTCAGAATGGCGCGAAACATCAAAACATCGGTTCCTATATCCTCCGAGAAGGTGAGTGTGCATTCATCTGGTCACGGTGGCGGCACCTTTGATTAAGCCCATGTCCTCCTCTCCGCTAGTCATCCACAGAGCAGCGGTCGGCCTTTGATAGTTACCTCCGGCGAGCTCTAGGGCGCACTGAAAACAACATGGGACAGGATTAGATCAGGGCACTCATGCATGTTGGTGGTGCAGGGACTAGTTAGTGTGAGGGGAAGTTAAGGGGTGCCACACATCTAAGCCAAAGGGGTGCTCAGTCAAATGGGGCTAACTGAGAGGGACGTGACAAATCCTATCTTTAAAATTTGAGTAGCTTTGAAGTGGAGCTGTGGGGTGTGAAGAGGTGAATGACATGTTGTAAGTAAAAAAAAAAGATGGATTAACTAACAAATTATTAAATTAAAATAAATACAAGAATGAAAAATGCAAATAACAAAACAATTAGTGTTAGAATTAGAGTTGTCAAAATACTCATTTGAGCAGGTATTGATACTAAAAAAGTTACATTCACAGGACAGAAATTAACCTTTCCTGAATAGGTTTAGGATGATCTTGAGCTTGACCAAATAGACTCGTGGACCACTATGGAAAATACCTTGACCACTGAGGGATTACATAGATATAAGACTACATGGTAATATACATACAGTATATAAGTATACAAGCATTATGATTTAATGTTGAAAATCACATTCGTGCCTAAAGAAAGAGTGCATCATTGCGGTATTGGAAGTGGTATCAAGTTTAAGTATCAAAATTGAGTTTGAAATTTTAGTATTGTGACAACACTATGAGGAAACAATGGAAAAAATACAGAATTCAATAAAGATTAGGGATTTACAATAACAGCCAACTATGTAAAGTAGGTTTTGGATAACTAGCATAGCATGTTTAGCTTAGTACTTCCTCACAGGTTATATCAAGAGTCTGTAATAATTTCATTTATATACTGTCATTCTGCTATTTTAGGTATGAGACGCAATCCTCCATTTTGCACTGTAGCAGCAGAACCATCAGCCACCTCAGACTCTCCATCAATTCCTCATCTTTCTCAAAATCAATGTCAATACCCAAAAAGAGAATTTTTTCCTAGTCAGTGCTGTCTGACTTCATTTGACTAGAGCACCTATAGGAGACAGACAGGCATCCCTATTCAAGCGAGGCAGTAGTCACAGCCCCTTATAGGCAGGCCTTGGGGCAGAGTGACTATGGAAAACAGTGTGCGCTCTTAGACGTATTGTCATTAGCATCATGCGCTGCCATAGAGACGGGTCTGTCGTGTAGCAACACCCTTGACCTCACAACTCAATGTGCCAAATAAGGCAAGGCAAATTTGGTGTGACTGTTTTGCGAGGCTGAGCTAAGAGAAAACAGAGAGGAGAGAAAGAACTTGGGAGAATGCCATGTAGTAAAGGCCACACAGACACAACCAGGACATGTGAGAGACACAGGTTAATCTGTATCAGGTAGATGTGTAGTTGATGTGTTATCAAAGATCATCACAGATCATTAGATTTACAGATTTTGTAGCATGATATATTGTGACAGAAAAATATTGCAATAAACAATAATATTGAGAATACCTTATGATATGACACTAGTGGTGGGTGATATGCCACAAAATTCATATATTTTAGATGATAAAATCATATCTTATAAAATTTGTGTTCTGAAATCATGGAAGAACCATTCATACACTCCATATTTGACTTCATACCCTTTCATACACTAAAGGCAAGGCATAGGTTAGCCTTAGCCTAAGTATCTTGCAGAAGGAAACAACAGTGATATGCACTGAAGGGAGCTAAGATCGAACAACAAACCTTTGGGGTCACACAAACACCAAGACCAAGTAAGAAAAAGAAAGAGTGAAAGCACTACATTTTACATCTACAACATTAGGTGTATTTTTTAACCTCAACTCTTACACTATATGTTTGTCAAAAGTATTAAAACTAGATATTCATTTGAACAAGTATCCATTCTTAAAAAGTCACATTCACAAGACAGAAATGAATCTTTCCTGAATAGCTTTAGAATAATATGCCCATTGAAAATCACATTCTATTGTCTAAATAAAGAGTGTTTATTATTATCCTCATCGCAGCAGAATGGGTATTACATTGTATTATATTGAGTATATAGTATCCCTTAGTAGTTTGCAATTTTTGTAATACTAGCCTTTGACTTCATTTATCTACCTGAATTCCTTCCCAATCACTATCACTCCAATATCAAACAATTTAGCTGGCCAATTTCACTGTCAATAGCACAAACAGTGATAGACGGTTCAAACCAGACCCCCCTTAGTGCTGGTGGAGCAACATGAAGGTGGGTGGGGGTCCTGGTTGTGTTACAGAACAACATATCAGTCAGTGGCTCCATCTGACAGCCCTGAGATGACCAGAGTGACCTGATACGGCACCAACAAAGAGCTCCATGGGACTTCTGACAAAAAACAGGACATAATGGATTAGATCTGTGAGGTTGAGGGTTCCATGCCTGAAGCAAAACAAGACCTGCTCATATTAGTGTTGTCCCGATACTAAAATTTCTAACTTTTAGGCAAGGCAAGGCAAGGCAAGTTTATTTGTATAGCACAATTCGTACACAAAGTAATTCAAAGTGCTTTACAGAATAAGAAATACACCATCTTGATTCTCAGTACCGATTCCGATACCACAATGATAAAAAAAATAACAACAAAGCACCCTTTATTTAGAAAACAGAATGCCATGTTAAACAATAGTTCTGATACAGCTCAAGGTGATTCTAAAGCTTTTCAGGAAAGGTTCATTTCTGTCTTGTGTTTTTAGTATCAATACTTGCTCAAATGAGAGTTTAGTTTCGATACTAGTTTTACTATCTGATTTTCAATGTTTTGCCAACCCTAGCTCATACACCTGATCAGTCACATGCATTTACAGTGGAGTTTCAATATCCATTTTGGATAATAACACCTTATGCACCTTGAAAATCTATTTCATTTGAATCATGATCTAATCCCTGTGACAAAATGGTACTTTGGTGATATCAGACAGAATGCCATTATTCAGTGCTTCACAGTTTGATGCAGATCTGTGCTAGAGATCGACTGATATGGGGTTTACATGACAGATACAGACTGCTGTAAATGCAGAGAAACTGATGGCCGATAAACTCTGCCAATATTTTGGGCTGATAAGGGGAGCATATTTTGATTATTTTTCCCAAAATTATATCATTTGAATTGACTACAACCTCATCCACAGTACTGTTTTACTACAAACTGGATAAGACAGCAGTATAGTAACAGTAACAGAGCTTCCTGTTGATTCATTAGTATAAAAAATACTGAGAGATATCATTCTGGATATGCCAGCATAACATAATTTGGACAGTAAAGAATAAAGACATTTTCACTAGCCCAATTCTTACACAACTCTTCCCTAGCCCTATTTCTCAGTACTGTCCCATTAGCTCACGATGCTGTCTACCGGATACGCTGCAGTTTCAATAATGTATGGAGCTGACGTCACGGATGGCCTCAAGTTCCCCACACCAGGCCCAGGCACGTTCACCCATCCTGGACTGAGTTGGGCCAGAGCCTCCTCATGGATAATTCACGATGGGGAGAAGAGCTAACCTCTCGCTGAATCATCTAGTTCTGGAAGGTGCTAGTGATGGGTAGACAGGTAAGGGCGTTAAAGTTTGGGGTTATGGAGGTCTGTCTGCTGGCTGAGAGTGGATTCTGGTTTGATGACAGTTTAGTCCTGAAGTGGACTGACAGGTTAGGCAGGACAGTGGCTGAATGGATAGCACTCATGCTATACAGCAAGAAGGTTCTGGGTTTGATTCCCAGGTTTCTGTGTGGAGTTTGCAGGTCAAATGCAGACAAATGCAGACAACAGACAATAAAGTGCACCCTTCCACCTCCATAAAGTTAAATACTGCAACTTTAACTCAAAAACACTCGTTAATATGAAATCACTAAAACTCTCTAATTCAACCTGAAATTCCCCATAATACCCACTCCCACCTTGATGTTATTGTTACATAATGCCCTCAGTTTTATAGTCTGTGGAATGCACGCCCCATGAAACTCCACGTAATCTTCTGCCAAGTGTCGTGTCCTTTTAGCTACATTTCAGATTTCTCCACACAATGGCCAGCTGACGGCACGCGATCGGAGGGCAAAATGATTTAGAGCAGAGGAAACAGATGTCAGGAACACGACCCAGACTGGCCCAGAGGAGGGAAAGCAAAGCCACATTCTTCACATCCACCTGCTGCTAACCTGCTGCATGCTAACCTGTACTGTGATGGAGGAGTGGGGGTCTTGTGGTCTACCTGCTGTCAGCCTTGGGCCATTCCCACTGGTATCAGCTAGCACACCCATATATTAATGTACCTGATGGACACTGTGATCACAAAAGAAAGTACCTTAACTATTTGTTTTTATGATTATGTATAGGCCGGAGGACAGATATGAATTCTATATAGTATATGTCACCAGAAATTCAAATTTAAGATGATTTGAATGGGTTTACACTTAGCAAGACCCAAAGCCCATAAAAATGGGCAGTTTCAACTTGTTTAAAAAGCTCTAACTTACAGTAGGCCTATCACAATAAACAAACTTATATTGCTGAAGTAAATATAGTCAATAAACAATAATATTGAAACTACTTTATGCAACTGACACAACAACCAAGAGCAGATTTAAACCACAACAAATATCTACAATATTGTTAAAAAACCATGGACTGCACTAGAATGAAGCACTTTAGTATGTAGTTTGTATCTGAAAGTGATTGCAAGTTATTTATTCAACCTATTAGGATTCAAATCATACAGCCAAAATTGTGCCAGTAGTGCAAAGAAAAAGTAAATAAACATTGACTCCCAGAAAATATCATTCCAGGTTTCATGTATTGAACAATAAGTCAATATAAAATTACAGGTGACAGGCCTAACTAACAGTAATATATTGACCCACGCTCTGAATTTTAGCTGTGGAAGCCATCAGATTATAGGCTCGTATCTACCATCTGCTGCTTGAGTGATGGAGGGGCTGCCAGCCTGGGGCCATTCTCACTGCTATCAGCTAACCACACCCACAATCACGTACCTGATGGGCGCTATGGTGGAGCAGCACGTCAAAAGGAAGATTCTTTGTAGAGTGCGGTTAGTGGCCCCTCCCTGAAGAGACAAAGGCCGAGTTAGGTTGATGCTTTCTGGTAAGGGATGTCATGTCAGTAATTGTCTGTCATAATAAAAGAAAGACAGACAGAACAAGGCTTTGTGTTGGAACATTAAAATCACAAGAAGAACTCATAGTCAAACAAGAAAAAAAGCTATAATATTTAAGACAAAAAATACATGATGGAACTACACAAAAGACAAAAGTGAAGTAATATCTGGCAAAAGACAAACGTGATATATATCTGGTCCAAAAAAATCTTTGAAATCCACTCATGTCACGTATATATCAGGTTTATTAAATGTAAGGAATGCTCAATTTACAAATAAATATTTTACTATTGGACAAAAGGAATTAAGGAATATGTTCATCTGTAAGTTATAACTTCATGTTTTGAGTTATGAAGAACTGTGTTGTTTTTTTCCAGAAGGCACTATATTGTGTGGGGTATATTTGTTGCATTAAAATCAATTAAAAATAGGGTAAAATTATCTACTTTCAAAAACTAGATTAAATTATAAATATGAAGTTGGATACACGAGAGAGGTAGCTAATTGTTCCTGACAGTCTTGTTTCATAACCATCATTAGTTTTTCCAGGTAAATCTGATTTCCCAATGGAGATTCCCCACCTCCAAACCTGTCACTTCCTTTGACTTTGGACTTGACGAGGCCTGTTAACTGTCAACAAGTAGGGCAGCACAATTAATTTAAATCAAATTGAAATTGCAGTTTAAGTGGATGTAATGGACAAAGCGCAAAGGCTGCAATTATTGAAGTAACCTACCATAATTACTGCCACAAACAGCCTTATTCTGCTAACCCTGTACTTTAGACCTTTATAAACAGGTTTCATATTTCAGTCATACTTCAGTAACTTTTCTGGATACAAATGTAATCGCAATCCTTGTCAGAAAAAAAAAAATAAATAAAAATATATTTTTCTCCTAAATCTTGCAGCCATATCAAGAAGTACCCAAGCTGGCCTGCACTCTAAAACAAATAAAGCTTTCTCATTTTCCAAAGTTAGAATGTTAAGGTCAAGATGCTACTGCAGTTGGTGGTCCCCTGTTGTTAACTTCTACTTCAATTTCCTGAGGGTCACTGGGTCCATCCTTCCGCTTCATCGTTACCATGGAAATGCTTGTTAGCAGGGTACTTATGTACACGCTCAACAGGTGGACGTGTTTGTTTCTCAAGGCTCATGCCCAGGTTAATCAGGACTTGTTCATGTACAAATTGGCTAAGTGAAATATTTCTTGATACGCTGTATTGATACTTCTGTGACAATAAAATATTTCGAAATAAATATAGACAATAAACTTGAATGAATTGATTTCCCCCTAAAATATTCTTTATGTACAGTATTGTTCATGAACATGTGATCAGACGCAATAGATACATGAAACACTTAATGAGTCATAGTTAATTATAAGTTATTTATTCAACCCTCTACAGTTCAAATCTTATCATAGTACAGAAATAAATCTAAAAGTTTCTCACTAGTACAAAGGAAAGTATCCACGATAAATATTGACCCCTAAAAACTCTTATACTTCCATCTGCTGTGTACATAGTAATTATAGTGAAAGGCTTCTATATTGGAGCAAAAAAGTTAGATTCTGACACTAAGTACACATTTATTCATTCATTTGCCCAAACTTGGATAAACTATAACCTTACAGTTGGAGTAGAAGACAAATCTATTACTAAAGTCATCTTAAGATTTACCAAGAGAAAGTATGATCCAGCTACGTTCTGTTTTCTAAGACATTGATTTGCCTGTAAAATCAGGTAACCTACATAGTGAGGTCAAAAGAAAATACACTTCCTGGTCTACTTCTACTTTTATGTAACAAGTGACTTAATATACGGAAAGGCCAGGATGTACCAAATATTTCTGAGTCTTTCAATGTTTGTGGCCTGGAGGACCACGCTAGGTCAATTATTTACTATCTTGACCAAAAGTAATGTTAAACTTGTATTTGTTGTATTTGTCTGGTAGAACTAGTATTGACTTCGGTGGAACCCCATCTCAGAACTGTTTACTTGTTTATTTTGCAAATAGATCTAATTGAGTCATAATAATACATTGTTTTTCCTCTCAACATTGTTTGGAGCACAGTAGAAGCCAGTATTGATTGAGGCTGCCTTCATAACAGTCAAATCCATATCACATTCTGTCTCCAATCTCCCGAGGAAAAGGCCATGTGTGAAACAAAAGGCTTAGAATGGCTCAGACACAATAGACTTGTTCTTTTAATGTGAGATGTGTGAAACCAGTCCTGAGCAGATTATTACATGTACTTGTTTCTCTTGTACTTGTTTCTCAGTGGTGAATTATAATGGAACTAGTGTGCTGTAGTAGCACATCTGGCACATGAAGCCTTCTCAAAGTAAAAAACAAAAAGAAACAAAAAACATCTACATAATCTTGCTTAGGTTCAGGTGTACTGTGTAACTTTTCTGTTTAACGTCCTCCACCTGCTTGTCTCCATGAAGAGGTTAGTGCTTTGCCTGGAATGTTCCCCACTAGTTTGGCGTAAAACATATCTATTCCCACGAAGACAAGCAGGTGAGTCCACAAGGCCAGGTGAGATCTCAGAAGAGGCGCACCCATACGTAAGAATGCATGTTTTTCCAAGGGATTTAGAGTTATAAAAACACCTGTAACTGAATAACTGCAATATTTTTAATTATATACTGTGGAACATTCAAGGTAAAGCAAAAACCATTAAGGCAAGCACGTGGAAAAGTTACATTGAGTACATTTAAAGCAGCTACAGGTAATAGTGAGAAATATAAGCCTTATTGATTCTCAAGTCTAACACATATACATAACCGTATCCAGAAAGGCCAGACCTTAGGCACTACTATCACCTGCTGCACTTGACGGATTGCCCTGGTACTAGGCCTATTGAAGGGTGGGTCACATACAGAATACAAAATCCGACATATAAAACTGCAAAAAAACATTTAAAAAGTGCATAAAAATGAGCTATACAGAAGATCTCAAAGCCTATGCCTAAATAGCAAATACAATATTGGCCAGCACAATTTTCAACAACTGGGCTCAAGCTATGAAAATAATTTCAGCCATAGTTAATGCCATTTGGGTTGTTAAAAGCCTCGACCATCAGATATTAAAACTAGTATTAAAACTAGTAGATATTTGAACAAGTATTGAGACAAATCAGAACAAGTAAGACCACATAGACTGGCATATGAGGGATTACACAGATATAAGACTGCATGGTAATACAAAGAAAAAGTACCAATACTATGCTGTAATGCTGAAAATCACATTCTCTTCTCTAAAGAAAGATTGTTTAAAATTATAATTGTAGTATTGGAATTGGTAATGAGTAATAAATATCTTCCTTAGTATCAAAATCAAGTTTGAATTTTTACTGTAGTATGATGACACTAATTGTTGCAACCAACTTTGTCAGTTTACTGTCTCCGCTAAACGTGCATTTTTTTAAATAATGTTTTCTATCCCACAAAATTTCCAAAGCCATATGCTAATCACAAATGGATATAGCTCATATTTCAGCAATTCCTCTGCTGTTCGTGACCCAAAACTCATAATTTTGGACTTCTTCAAGCACATTGTGAGAAGTAATTTACTGCCAAGCGGGATGATTACTTTCCACTCCAGTGTCCTTGGTCCTCCTGTGACTCAAATGGGCACACAATTCAGAAATGTAGCTATATTAAGATGCCAATCATCTTGAGACATCAAAGTTCCTGCCTGTGAGAAGATGTATCAGCAGTACTTAGCCTCTCCTTTTCTGTGCAAAGGTTGAAATGTAAATTCAAGTGTGTTTTTTTTTTTTTTCTTTGTAAGTTTTAGTTATCGTTATGGCCAAAATTCTAAATGGCCTACTTAAGTATAGAAATATTTGAGGTTTTCTGCTGTTTGACTAGATTACTGATGTTACTTCTTCAGACAAATTATGTTTGATGCAGTTTGAGGATTAACATCTAAGCCTTTAAAAATATATATTTTAATCTGTTTCATGGTGCAGTGCACACTTTTCATCACATTGAATGGTGAGCAAAGGGGTCTCATATGAAAAAAGATGTTAATACTCGACATTTCTATACCACTTTTTATAAATATATTTTTTATATTTATATTTATACTGCCCTACAAAAAGCAGAATGCAGGAACATCATGTTTGGTCAAAAAAGAGTTAATGTCATTCTGGGGTTATTTGAGATCTCCTTTATTATGTGAATAAATAAGAAAAATATTGAGCTCAAGTACAGTAACTGCCAAATAAAGGTCAAAGGTCAATTTTGAGTTCAATATTTTTCGCATACAAATATTTCTTCATTATGGCAACTAGTTCTCAAATTTTGGGAGCCTTACCTATTATACTTTTGTCTGGACAAAACAGAAACTTTGAAGTAATTTTTCTCAGTTTCATATTCGCTAGTTAAGGTCTTTTGCCTTTGTAGGGCAATATAGATGAATGATGATTTGTGTATTATTTTTTGACAACCCTTTTATGTGTGAAATAACAAAACAGTTGTTTTGAAGATGTGCAAAGTCCATATATTTTAATATTTAATATATATATAACAACTAAACAACAACTATAAAATCAGCAATATCCAGAACAATTGCTGATGTAACATGACTAGTTGCTAATCCAACCTGCACCTGACAGGTCTAAGCTGCCACTCGTGTTTCCGGAGTGCCACTGCCAGACAATCACAGCCTGCCTTGTCGCCTCTCAATCACTTGCCTTTCACATCATAGTGCTGCAGCTGACAAAAGGAAATTTTGTTTGACTACAGACCCGCTAATTAGTCGAGTAAAAGCAAAAGTAAATTGCATTTACAAGATCACCCCTGCACGGGAGTTCATGTAAAAATAACTACTCGTGCAAAAAAAAAAAAAGTACTGAGAAGCAATGTATTTATTGTATTTATTTTTTTCTGTTGTTGTATCATATAAATCCTAAAATCTATATAAAATGACTGGTCGT